TTCCTGACGCACCGGGCGTGGATCCACTCCCTGCTGTTTGACGAGATGTATATTGTTATCAAAACAAGTGGCTAAAACAACTACCATTCACTTACGTTTTCACGCTTTTGGCGTTTCTTTGCTGCAAATGGATTTGATTTTCGGTTGCGGCCCATTTTTATCGAATAAAAATAATATTTACTGTGCAGAACGCTGAAGATTCAGTAAGACCACTGCAATTGACACAAAATTAGCTCCTGCCCGGTTGATGACCACAGAAACAAATGTAAACACGTGTCTAGGAGGTGCGAGCAACCCTGGCACATGTACGTCAGACAAGCAAAAGACGAGGGAATTTCGAAGAAAATGTTTTCAAATAAAATGTGAATTAATAAAACTATTTTAGTTTTATAAAACAGAAACATATCTTATTTCATTAATTAAGGAACTATTTAAAAGGATTTATTAAATCAAATATTTTTAATGAGTCAAGCATGTTCGGCCCCATCAAGCACGCCACAGCTGTTTCATTTGCCATTGTGACATGTCACTTGAAAAATAAGAAGCATTCTGAAAAAGGCAAATAATTTGTAAACAGTTGGGCTGTGGAAGATTTTGCAGTATTTTACAGTTTAACGCAATAAATATGAAAATAACACAGAAAATCGAATTCGATGAGGATGTAGCATCGATTTGCGAGTCCACGGTAAGTTAGTGGAGTGGTAGAAATACAATTTTGGTTATGACTCCTCTGATGGCCCAGCGGCTGCATCACCTGCAAAATTGTTTGTAAACAATGATCTTTAGCCATAATTCGAACTCTTTTTACGATTTTTAACCCTAGTCGCATGTACNGAAGAAACATCATTCATCCCTGCCTGGTAGCGTTTCAAGACCCACTTCACCACAACCTGCCGCCAGTAATGAAATGGTCAATGGAAATGCTGTTTTGGCAGCAGCACTACAAAAGAAGATAAACCGCAAGAGAAAAGTATACAATAAATAATTATTAACTACATTTAACTCACAGCCAAATTTATTAGCTCAATTCGGTACCTGTGCCACCTGTTGCTCTGGTCCCTGAAATACCCCCGTCTTTGATAGCATCAACGCTTGCGCCATCAGTTGCTGTCCTAACCACTACACCAGCGCCAGTGTCTGTAACTGAGGAGGCTTCACAAGATGGTAAAAACGCGACACCACGTCAATCAGGCAGCATGGTTATACATCAGGATGACGTGGTAACGCGCATGAAAAATGTTGAAATGATCGAGTTGGGTAAACACCGTATAAAACCCTGGTATTTTTCACCGTATCCACAGGTAGCTGATTTGTGTAATTTTTTGTCTAAATTACTAAATAAAAATTTTACATTAGGAGCTATGCCAAATGCCCTGCATCTACATTTGCGAATTTTGCTTAAAGTACCGCAAAAGTCGCAAATGTCTTGAGCGGCATTTAGCGAAGTGCAACCTACGCCATCCGCCTGGCAATGAGATCTATCGTAAACATACCATATCCTTCTTCGAAATAGACGGCCGTAAAAATAAGGTCTATGCGCAGAATTTATGCCTGTTGGCTAAGCTATTCTTGGACCATAAAACACTTTACTACGATACGGATCCTTTTCTATTCTATGTTATGACAGAATTCGATTCGCGCGGCTTCCACATCGTCGGCTATTTTTCGAAAGAGAAAGAGAGCACGGAAGATTACAATGTTGCTTGTATACTCACAATGCCTCCTTATCAGCGCAAAGGATATGGCAAGCTGTTGATTGAATTCAGCTATGAGCTATCAAAATTTGAAGGGAAAACGGGTTCGCCTGAAAAGCCTTTGTCAGATTTGGGCCTACTTTCGTACCGCTCCTATTGGGCTCAAACAATTCTGGAGATTTTCATAAGCCAAAAGCCAACCAGCGACGGCGAAAAGCCCACCATTACAATTAAGTATGGAACAAGCTTGGATTAATTTTTAATCTAAAATTCATTATTACATATTTATTATTTCTATTAGCGATATCTGTGAATGCACTTCCATCAAGAAAGAAGATGTTATATCAACTTTACAAAATCTGAATCTTATAAACTATTACAAAGGACAATATATAGTTTGCATCAGTCGCGATATTATCGATCAACACAAGAAGGCTATGGATAAACGCAAAATTCGCATCGATTCTAAATGCCTACATTGGACCCCCAAAGATTGGTCTAAGCGCTCCAAGTGGTAAATCTTAAGCTCATGACATTTTAAGTTATAAATTGTTTTAAGTTCATTAGCAAGATTAAGAGACACACATTCATACATCATTAAACAAAAATACCCAACCTTATGCGCATTAGTTACCCTAGTACCAATTTCTATTGATGATTTTCCCCCGCCTTTATTTATTCTCTTTTCCGCTCCACCGGTAAAAATGCTAGAAATGATTGAAATGTGCTAGTTCAGTATGCCACCCCACTACCAATCTATAAATCATGCAATGCAAATCAGCGTGAAATTAAAAAATTGAAGCCAATAAATAACTAATTGGAACCCTCCTAAAAAATCAAAGTGTTTTTATTTTATTCCCTATGTCCAACCTCATCCACCAAGTAGTCCAAACTTTGCAGCGTCGCAGTCTCAATAGTGGCCTCCACAGTTTCCGTAGCTGTTTGCACGGCGCGCACAGTAGCTTTACTCTCGGCTAATTCCTGACGCAATTGTTTTAGTTTCTCATGTGTTTTACAAGCCTCCAATTTGGCTCTGCATTCTGAAACGTCTGCCTCACTTATGGACTCTATAACATGGCCAGCAGCTAGTTTATGTGCAATAACGCTGACCTCCTTTTCGGCTGCTGTTATCTTGGCAATGGGCAAGCGAGTATCGCTTAACAAAGCGCAACGCGTTGCCGCCAAAGTGGTCAGCTTCACGTACTTGGCATACGACTGTAAGTAATCTTCTTTGACTTCGAAATACTGCCGAGTCTTCTCATCCACTTGGCGCTTAATATTAGCCTCGTCATCCCGAAAGCGCCGCAAAGTTTCCAGATAAAGCAAATACTGTATGTCCTCCATACCGCTGGCGGTGGAGTTTAGTGAAATAGAAGCCGCGCTATTTGAAGAAGTTGGTGTGGTGCTGTTTGCTGACATTTTGCTGCTGAAATTAAAAATTTTTCCGCTAGAAAATACAAAGCGCGATAATTTAAAAAATAGAAATTTTTACACTTCTGCTTCTTCTTCTAAAGTGGAGTTCACAATTAAACACTTTCGGGTGGAATTTCTTGAACTATTGGTATCATGCTGTGATTATTTTAATTATAAAGGCCTGTATGCAGCTCTCAAGAAAAGCAAAAACTCCATATAAAATGACGTACAAGAAATGGCTAAGAAATTTTCTTGAGTCAAATTTCCTTAAGGCAGTACGCAGTTCTTCAGAAATTTAGTACGCTTTCTACTACGGTTTTCTAAAGTTTTTTGTGAAAAAAGAGCACAAGGCAACCCAGGTTTGCAACAGAAATATATGCCCGTTCCATTATTTCTTGAGGAAAGAGTGAGGCAACAGGCTGTGCGTTATCAAAAATGTCAAAATTCCTTGGACACACACGCGAAATAATGGCAATTTTTTCTTGACCGTTTCCTTAAGAGCTGGATACTAAGCTTTCTTAAGAAATTTACTACGCTTTCTACTACGGTTTTCTAAAGTTTTTTGTNAGGCAACCCAGGTTTGCAACAGAAATATATGCCCGTTCCATTATTTCTTGAGGAAAGAGTGAGGCAACAGGTTGGCGTTATCAAAAATGTCAAAATTCCTTGGACACACACGCGAAATAATGGCAATTTTTTCTTGACCGTTTTCTTGAGAGCTGCATACAGGGCTTAAAAATGAAATATTAATCGTTTGCATTTATTGTTTGGTATATCAGATATCATGAACAATTTGTATTACAAAGGATTTTTTTTCTCGCCATAGGTCAAGCTTTTTTATGCAACCATGCATTTAAGCTTTCCGTACACTTCCTAACAGATACATTTTTGACAGCTCTATTTGTCATTTTGTGTTGACGTTCCTTATTCACTAAATTTTTGCTGTTTAACTCGTGGCGTGTGTATTCTCTGATTTTGCTGCTTAATTATCCACACAAAAGGTGATATTATTGGTTAAATTGTATAATTCCATAAATATCAGGCATTAATTTAAACTTATGTGTACTTAGATGCCTGGTGTTGATACGATTAAATCCTCTTGGGCCGATGAGGTAGAGCTCGACTATGGAGGACTGCCACCTACCACTGAGACCATTGAAAACGGCTACAAATACGTCACAGAATATAAATACAACAAAGATGACAAAAAGGTAAAAGTTGTGCGTACCTATAAAATATCCAAGCAAGTCGTGCCAAAAACTGTAGCCAAACGTCGTACATGGTCAAAATTCGGTGACTCAAAGAATGACAAACCCGGTCCAAATTCACAAACCACAATGGTGTCCGAAGAAATCTTCATGCAATTCCTTAATTCCAAAGAAGAGGAGAAAGCCAATGATCCTCTTCTGGATCCAACAAAGAACATCGCCAAGTGTCGTATTTGTAATGGTGAGCATTGGTCGGTTAATTGTCCGTACAAGGGTACAGCCATGGATACGAATTTAATGGAAAAGAAAGCTGCTGCCGCCGCTACAGCGGCAGTCGAAGCGCCCAAATCTGGCAAGTATGTTCCACCCTTCCTTAAGGACAGCCAAAAAGGTGGTATAGGCATGCGAGGACGTGATGATACCGCAGCTATCCGCATTTCCAATTTGTCCGAGTCTATGACTGAAGCCGATCTGGATGAGTTGGTAAAAAAAATTGGTCAGCACAGCAAAATGTATTTGGCGCGCGACAAGAATACCGGTCTCTGCAAAGGTTTTGCTTATGTGCATTTCAAACAACGTAAGGATGCCGCCGCTGCTATTGAAATTCTCAATGGGCACGGCTATGATCACTTGATTTTGAATGTGGAATGGTCGAAGCCGCAAACCAACTGATCGACAATGACAAGGGATGTTAATGTGGCAAGAGATCAGCAGCGGCAGCAGCAACATTAAAATAATTTTATATTATAAAAAAGAAGAATCGGATATATGTATATTTACGTGTATATTTAGAATTTCATGCGTTGTCTTACAGCAATGACACTTGCAAAAGGCATTAATTAATGATCAAATAAATAATCCAAGAATATGATATCTCAAACTGTACTACAAAACTATTTAAAAATTTAACTAATTTTATACAGGGAATCTGCACTTAATGCGTCTGTCGACTTACGTCCGTCAAAACCGTTTGTAGTTTATTAGCCAAATACTATGTGAGCACAACAAATCAAAAAAAAAACTATAGACAGTACCATTGGGCATTGTCGTCTACGAAACACAAAATTTGGTTATTAATTTTTTACTGGGTTATGGCATTTCACAGTGTCCAGTTGGTACGCATTATGGCCACCCAATAGATAAATGTATGTATTTATGTTATGTAATGACAGAGTGTTGCAATCCCTATTTAAGCTTTAGCACAATGGCGACTTCCAACATTGGTGCTACCCAGCCAATAGCTGCTACCTCAAGATTTTGAACACAGATTGTAGCGATACCCGAATTTGCGAAATTTTGACGTATATGGTGTCAAAATCGGTTTTCTCGCCCAAGATCTGACCGCAGCGAGGCCATGGGGTCATAGCGAATAAAGCACTTCTGTGCCCAAAAAGCTGAATAAAAATAAAACGTGTAATTATTTGAATCAAAAGTATTTCACTACTATCTACTAAAACTTTCTTGCCTGTGGAACTGTTATTAAATAGCGTGTCAAAGCTGTTTGTGTCGATATGCTTCAAGGAAATGTCGCTTGTATCCGTTTCCGTGCTGAAGAGCTGCTAAAAGTAGCCGTCATCGATTCGCCAACAGTTAGCGAGTGGCGAAACGAACGAACTCAATGAGTTACAACCAAACTCGCTGTCGTCTATCCGTGCTAGCTAACTTTGTTGTTGCTTTCACATGCAAAATTCTTCTTTAAACGACCGGAACTCAAACAGAGCGAGCGAGAAGTGGCGAATCGATGACGGCTAATGTTGGTTTTAACCTGCCAACACAAACCGATGCGCGAAAATGCTGTAAGTGCGTTGTGATGCAGGTGAAATTTGTGGATAAATACGAAGCATTGAAAAAACGCTATAACTGCTTATAGCTTCTGCCTTTCGCCCACGGAGAATACAATATCGATAAATTCATTATCGGACAAAAGCAACGATTCCGTTTTGCACCCATTTATTTTTGTGTCTTTCCTTTTTACCCTTTTTTGATAATTTCTTATTTTTATTTATTGATTTGATGTTTTAAAATTAGTTAGTCTGTTCTTTGGTTGGCTCATGGCATAAATGGCTTCATGATTATCGATAATGCGTACTTCCGGTTATCGATTAATCTAATAGCCGTGTGCTTTGGCTAGTAGGGAAGGTGGTGATAAGATTTATAAAATTTTGTCGCTTACTTTTTTGTTTTGGCAGAGCTTCTCTTCCAATTTGACGACTGCGTCTTGATGCTATTACAGAAATCGAGCGACCTACAGTTTTACGCCGCCTCCGAACGGCAAATGGATTTTTATGAGTGCTTTTACATGGAAGAAATACGCTCGGTGGTTTGCCATTGCCTGCCGGGGGACGACCGGTTTTTGAAGTGTTAGATGTTACTCGACACCGGGATCGAATCCAGGTCTTGCGTAGTGGTAGTACGCACCTTTAACCACTCAGCTACAGCCAAATTACAAAATAAAATAAAATAACAGTAAAAAACTGAGATGAAATAAGATAAGGAGAGTCAAATTAAAATTAAAATAAGCTAATGCTTGAAATACAATACCGGCGAACGGCAAACTTCGCCGAATTGGGTGATGCTGTCGTTCACCGTTCGCCCAGCTATTTCGCCTACTTAAACAGAATTAGAGCGGTAGCGAAAACAGCTGATCCCATTTGGTCGCCTTTATAATTTGGGTGACCATATTTAGAAAAAACTAAACCATATTTAGAAATGAGGAAATGATAACAAATATAAATGTAAAACAAAGAAAGATTATTATAAATAATNAGTAAATTACACTGTGCGACACTAAAAAATACCTGGGATGTTATGTATATATTCTGGTAGGTCTTTTCGAGTAAACCAAGAATCGAAATATGAAATTCGCCAAACACCCCAAAATAATTTATTTACCGTTGAAAAGCTGGTTCTTTGCACTTATAAGCCTCGAACTTGGTTAATTACGAGTATTTTGCAGGCTTTCAAAAGAAACTTAGACCTATCGAATGGTATATATGTGAATAAAAAAACCTTAAAAGATCTGTGTGTATTTACCCAGAACCAAGGCACATTAAACAGGTAGTATCAATAGAGCAAAAACAACATTTGCGTGTATTTTGTTGTTGCTTCTGGTATCGAAAGTGTCAAAAACTGTTCTGAATTTTTTCTTCTAAATCAAAGCGTGCCATGTGAAATACAAAAAATTATAAAAAATAAAAAATTGAAATTGGAAAAAATAAAAATTGATGCAACTTTCTTTCCTAGTAAATTTGTTTGCTTCTCGAAGCATTGATCGATCCTTTGCAAGGCCCAGTAATCAGCGGTCGTGCTGCTGAGTTGGGCGAACGTTCCAAAAGCTGCTATTCAATGGCTTGTTTTGTATGGAAAAAGGTTTCACATGCAAATGGATTTTAACAATTCAGAATTTTTGTGAGAAAAAATTAAAAATATTTGACATTTTCGAGACCAAATAATTTGAAAATAAATAAAATCAGCTGCTCTACTGATACTACCTGTTCAATGTACCTTGCCCAGAACACATTATTTTTTTTTACTTTTTTCGCCTGTTTTCAATTTTGGTGAGGTTTTTACGCGCTATTTTATAAGAAAACCATAATAGCCATAAATTGATTGGAAAACTTAATTTAATAACGAGTGTTTATTTTCGAGAATCAGATGAAAGTTTACCGAGTTACTAAACTTTATATGAGATAAAATTTTTTGGAATTCAACTCAAAAATGTTTGCTTGACCGTTTTTTTTTATTTGACGTTTTCTATGATCGCAAAGTATGGCCATCGCGAGAGTCGCATCAAATAGGCCGGAAAAACGTTTCAAACGTCCCATTCTTTAAAACTGAAAATGTGGGCCAACCACCACTGCACTTAAAGCTAGGATATATGAAACTATAGGGGGCACGGTGCAGGGATTGCATGGTGTCCCAAGTGAAAACCGTTTTTTCCGTACAATCCGTTCATAACCAACTAAGTTATAGGCTTATAAGTGCGCAAAAGTACGAAAAACCAGGTTTTTAACGACAATTCAAGAGTTTGTCAAATTTAATATTTCGATTCTTGTCTTACTCGAAAAGACCTACCAGAAAATATACATACATAACTTCCCAGGTATTTCTGCATTATTCTTTTTTGTAGCACTGTGTTATTTATGTCTCACAACAAAATTTAGAAACTGGGATTTTGTATTGGATTCTATCAATTATAAGCTTCTTGCAGGTTTGCAAATTAATACAAAAAATTTATATAAAAAGACTCAATGCACTCAAAATAAAACCATCTGATCTGCATTCTTTATTTAGTATTATTTTACGACTTTTTCAAGTAAAAAAAATAAAATTTAACGAAATAGAGAAAAGTTATAAAAATAAGTTTCATTTGTTTCATGAAGACAGACAAATAAAATAAATCAATAAAATCGGTTACATCAAAAGATTTGTTGTAATCTTAGAAGAGGGTGTCACCATTTACGCCATTTTATTTTTGTTTCCTTTTCTACATCGTTTCCTCCCTGTCTAATTACAAATAGCATCCTTGGAATTGTTGTTGTGCCGTACACAGCTGTTGCCCATTGGCTTCAGTAGCTGCTGAATGCAAAAACACCCCATTCGCAAGATTTTTAGATAAACATGTGTGTGTACATACAAGTTTCTGCCAGTAACAACACCTCGTCCCATTTTCTAGTGGTGAGTACACAGTTGTGGTATAAAAGGATGCTGTGCAGCCAAGGACATGAAACATTTCGAATTTGTCGCGAATATAAGCAATACGTAAGTTGTAGAGGGAATCGCATGGTTAAACGGATAAAATATAAGTGAATTGAATTAGACATTCATAAAAATTAAATAATTACAAATAATAATTAAAGTGAGTATACAAGAGCACCCACATCGGGAATGTATATACGTCACTACGTGATCGTAGTTACGTAGGACTCAGAAATTAAAGTTCATGTGTGAAAAAATCATATTCATAATTTTTTTGCTGATTTGTTTGTTTAAGAAGAAAACTATAAAAGAATAAGAAGTGGTCTTAAATAAGTGATTTTTAAGCAACAAACACAACCGACTTCAATTCTCATATAAAAAACATAGGAGTACCGTTAATTTCTTGATGATGCAATGATCGGTTCTAAAAGAAATTATTTTTTATGGGACCACCCTTGATCCAATAAAAAAATAGTTATCGAAATCGGTTCCCCATTTTCGGAAATCGGTTAAAAATATTTTTAGTAATGATTACATTCGAGTTTTTTCCAGAGAGAACTCGTTAAATAATATTAATAACCTGAACTTCTGTCTCATTTCTTGAACAAAATCAGCGCAGATAAATAGTAAAAAATATGATTTCATTAAGATGTTCGAAGAACATTTCCCATTAAGCTAACCATCATTTTTTATTTCTGAAACCTTTTTTTGTACCTTATGTTCGTGGATTCAATTTTTTTTTCTTTTATGTTTAAAGGACAATGCCAAAAATTATTTTTTTTTTGCACTGCAAGGTCAAAATTTCCAGGCCAGATTCTGATTCTACAGCCAAAATTTTATGGAAATCACTTCTTAATAAGTCTGCAGCTAAATAAAAAGCAAAATAAAAATAAAAAGAAATACACAAATAAATAAGGAAAAATAAGTAAATGAATAATAGAAAAGAGAAATACATTTTGTGGCAAAATTGTTTCTAAAGTTCCTAAAAGTTTTCGGTAAAAAAAAATTACAAAATATTGATCTAAATCTACAAATGTGATCGAAATAGTTTGCAAATGGTTTTATTATATCCTGGTATATGATTTCTTAACAGATTCTCTAGTTTTCGTTAAATATTCAACTATATATTCGGACTTTCGGAAAATAGTTTAGTGAAAAACTCCTCCTTTTTTGGCAAAGTTTTATTTCAAATATATTGTATGGGGCCATGTGCCAATTCGGGAAAACGGTTAACACCATTGAATTCAGCGTACCCCAATTATCTAGAAATGACCTACACACATATGTATCTCCCGTCCGTCGGATTTTTCAACTACAACAGTGTTGTTTGAAAGTTGCTCATACGCTGTGTTAACCTATTTATTGGTTATGTGTATGCAAGTGGAACCTTCGCCTAATTGACCACAAAATGCTAGTTTTTGGCAATATGTACACGCTTCTATAACCCTGCAAAAATCGCGACTACTCCATGCATGCGTGTAAAAAGTACTCCCTAAGGACCAAGGAGTACTCCAAAACTAACCACAATTCATATAAAAAGTATGGTCCAATTAACATTGCGATGTCCTAGGGCAGGACCATATACTCCATCCCCGCATTACATCAGAGTAGCACAAAACTACTCCAACATATTAACAATGGCATTGTTGCTATATTTTTTCGTTTGTACACGCTTTTGTTCTTCACTTCTCAAATACTTTTTCGAAATTAATAAAATCCAAGACAAAAATTTAAAATTATATGTTGCCTCTGACGGTATTCGAACCCGAACATGCTGGGAGCTAAGAACTAACAGCGAGCATCTCTACACGTTCAGCTACAGCCAGACATGCAAATGTGCTTTCAAATGCTCTACTTCAATCACGTTTCGTTAAAACACGAGCAGTGATCGGATAACAAACAATAATCTAGCGCAGAGACACCAGTTGGTCCGCTACAGCATGACAGAGGAACACTTTTGTAAGTACTCCAATTTACCACAAATAGACTACATGATCCAACGATTTTTGCAGGGAACAATAAAAATTACAAAATAAATTTTTTACTTTTAATTGTCATGTGAAAATGAAATTTCCGTCGCGATTGATAAATGGTGAATGCTTTCGGTGCTGAATATTGCATCTCAAGAAAATATTAAATAAAAGCTCATCTAAAAAATTTAAGTTGCGCCCAGCGTACGCTCCTCAGCTGGCAATTGCATAATTACGTCTCAATTGCCTACTCAGTCCAAAGTAGCAATGCTGATTTCCAAATAAACAAAGTCCTCTACACTCTAAAAAATCTGTTTAAAAACGCGACTATAAATCGAGTATATTTTTGTTTATTTTTTAAATTTTTTGGTAAATTTACACGATGAATATGTATTTTTCTCGAGTACCCATTTTCGTGTGTAAAAATCCTTTTTGTTAGCGGCTTTACACAATTCTACGGGTAAAATCAAGCAGCAGATGTGTATTTTGTAGCTTGTACACACACTCGTAGTAAACTTACGCACACCACAGCAGCTATATTACGCTCTAAAGAGTCCGAAATTTAAGAAAACTATTCGTTGAATAATCGAGCATTAGCAAGGAAATTTACACAATTTTTTTTTTAGAGTGTACTTTTTGGAATAATAACTGTCGATAGTAAAGTGAATGCCGACGCGTGAATGCACTGACTGGTTGACGACAGAAGATACTTCGTCTTGTCACACGCTTTAATAATAATAAATTGGCGCTTACACATAGTATGTTAGTGTTTGGCCGAGCTTCTCCCCGATTTGTGCCGCGCGCATGCACTCGGAGGTTTACGATTTTTTTATTTTCATTTACTTGTTTGGTATCGAATGTTTCGGTGAAGCACTACCCAATTTAAAGAAGATGGTGATGTTGTTCGACATCATTTTACTCAGGCGGAGATACCAAATGCAGATATCGCGACGTATGGGCAACTGCTTTCCACGACATCGAAGGCTATTTTAAAATCAACGGAGAGATGATGTATATAGGTTAAACCTCCTCGTGCGGGTCTTTTACAAGATATGAGGTATTTTGAATACACGATCTATAGTGGATTTAATAGGTATAGAGCCCCACTTACATGTAAGGCCCAATCAGTTCATTGACGGTTGAGTCTTACACACAAAATGCTTGATAAGAAATCATATGCAATATTGATTAGGCAGATACCGCGGTAGATAGCACATGTAACATTGTTGCTTTCTTGTGGATTGGACAGAGTAAATTGAATTGTGCATGCATCTTATGAGCTCCCCGCCGACGTACTTGAGAAGCTGAGCTAGCATACCACCTTCTCTAGCAGCTTTGCTAAGTTAAATCTATTTAACTCATAGCTGAAGGCATAGGACATAACGATTGTTGATTAGTAAATAAAATATGTAGTCCACGAAACCAAATTTTTTTTAACGATTTACTATTCAAATTGGAGGAAAAGTTTAAGTTGAAATATTCCAATTCTGATTTTTGCGAATCCCGAAAACAATTCCTCAAATCCTTTTTATAAATATTAAATTTTTATTGCAAATTGCAAAACGTGTGCTGCAAACCAATTCATTCACGCACCCTCTTTTTTGGCGCTAGAGCTACGAATATTTGACTAGGTGTGAAAATATGTATGTGCCACTAATAATAAAATATCCAAAAATAATAACAATAACAAATATAATGTGGTTAGTTAGAGAGTACTTAAACGAGCGCATGGACAAACGAAAGGGGTGGTATGTTGACACACCTTCAAGCAAAAAGCAACAAACAAAGCCACAGGCAGGCAGACAAATATGAGTTGGTAAATACGTACTAGTAAGGGGGTAAAGGAGTAACCCCTTAAGCAAAAGCAAATGCATAAATACTTGTTTACAATTGCATGAATAATATATCGAAATTTCATCACCCGCGGCATACGCTCCGTGCGGCTGCTGGGCGTGAAGGCATGCGTTGCTTAACCACAAATTTTGTGGGCGTGTTGTGTTACGTTTGGTGTAACGAAAAGTTTTAGATTTTATTTTTTTTTTTAATTTGTAAAGTTTACAATTTTCAACTATTAATACGAGTGTCTTTTTGTCTTCTTTTGTTTCAGAAATCAGAGAAATACCTTTGAGCCACAATGGTGTACGACATGACGCATATGGTGCCAGCGCAAAGCATCTCCTTGGGCCGCTACTATCTGCATGATCTCAATGGCATGGCAGAGAATCACGATTACGTCTTGGATATTGATCGACGCTTTCAGGCGCGTATGGCTTGTGAGACAATGCCACAGGCATCACCACCACCACCGCCTACACCAGCACCGCGACGGCGTACAACACCAATAGCGCACTTGGATCCTTCCGAATTGGTTGGTTTGACGCGTGAAGAGCGTCGTCGTCGGCGACGTGCAACACTAAAATATCGTACGGCCCATGCAACACGCGAACGTATACGTGTGGAAGCGTTCAATGTGAGCTTTGCTGAATTGCGAAAACTGCTACCCACTTTGCCGCCGGATAAGAAGTTATCAAAAATCGAAATACTCAAGCTGGCTATATGCTATATAGCATACTTGAATCATGTGTTGGAGACGCCATAAGCGGCATAGCACTATTTGATGGGGATATATTTTATTTTAAGCGTAGGTTAATTTTAATTTTACTTTAACTATAATTTAAGCTGCAATGTGATACTGTTTAATTTTAAATGAGTACTCTAAATAACAGTAAAGTTAATATATGTATGTATGTATAACTTTAATATTTTACATATCTTAAAATCTACGTAATAAAAGTCGTCTACTCCACATTACATAAACATAACCTATACTCACTTTGCTAGTATTTTTTGTATTGCCTTACTATTTATCTATGTAACAACACCATGTATTTAGTTGCTGGCCACAGCTGTCGCTACACAAGTTTTCACTTTTCTCATACATTTACCGCCATTGGGCACCTGCGCCTTGGATGCTGCAGTCCCATCCCCATGAACGTACAAATAAATGTTTGCAGAGCTCGCATAGCAAATAGCAGAAAAAGAGAAAAGCCAATTGGGGAGTAGCAGAAGAATGATGGGCGCATAACCAAACAAAAACAAATACCATTAAATACAGTGTGTTTCAAATGACTGTTTTCTTGTAGGGATAACTCATGATAGCATGCTTTTAACCAGGGACCGGAAACGCGTTCCGGCTTTGGTTTAGTTCTGCATATGAACAAAATGTAAAGTCAAAAACGTTCCCACAAAAGAACTAAACGGGAACAAAAGTATTGAGGGCAGTTTTAGCGGGAACAAAATGATAATAAAAGGTTTGGGAACGTTTCCGTAAAGAACAAAACGCGAACAAAAATCTCGGAAACGTTTGAAAGAAGAACAGAATGAGAACGAAACTTTCGGAAAAACTTTCAATGAGAAGAAATGAGAACGAAAGTAACGCGAATGTTTTCAAGGAGGATCAAATAAGAACGTTCGTCAGCGTTCTGCTAGAGAACAAAATGAGGACAAAAGTTTTGAGAACTTAACGTTCAGCATGCGGATTGGGTTGAAAAATCGCTTCAGTGCGAGGCACGATTGTTAATTCTAAGCCAGAAGAAAGCTGGATAATTTTAACTACCAGATCGTTTATCATTAGGGTGAACTGTCCAATTATGAAACAATTTTTTTAATTTTCTGTACAATGTGTCTGTGTCTTAAGTCTTTCGTTGGCTTAGTTTGCATAATTATCTTTCAGTTCTTGTTTGATTAATTTTAATATTCAAACATTTCAAACTAATGGACGCCAGTGAGAAAAATTTTGTTACCGTTTTCATTCTTCGTGAATAGTTCATAGAAGATTTGTTCCCGTTCGTCCTCTGTCAGTTCCCAACTGCTTCTTCGAGAGAAAGTTCCTTAGACTTTTGTTGTTGGTGTTTTATTCTCTAGAAATGTTCCACAGCGTTTTGTTCTTATATAATTCCCGTTCTCGACAGGTTTGTTCCCACCTTCGTTCTTGTGAAAACATTCCCGCAGATTTTGTTCTAATTTCGGGTTTGGTTTTGAAGCGTTCTTTTTAACAAAACTACAAGAACGACACACCTTTTGTTCTCGGTTCCTGCTTTTAATTTTGCAACGCAAACCGTAATTTTTCTGCTTTGAAGAAAAAATAATCTCACTCCAGAGAAGTTGTTTTGATAAATGTTCACATATGTAAAGTACTCACTGAAGAATATATCGCCACAGTTGAGTTATATTTCGAGTCCTAAATTCATTAATTCAGCGCACTCAGAACCTGATCTATTTAGCGATTTCCAGCTTAATATCAGTATTTTATAAATATCCCTCAGCTGGCCGAAATAATCTGAACATTGACCTTTATTATTTAGTATTTGACCCTGTAGCGGTAGTCTTTAATTTCGTCTGAGTTGTAAAGGTATCTGGAAACACATCTCTATGAGCACTTCATTTGAAGTATTATCGGAATTTAAGTGCGCTCCTTGCGCATTACACCAGAAACGTGACCCTGCCATATGCGCCAACTATTGCGGGATCACCCTGTTAAAAGGTCTCATCGAGCGGATGGTGTAAAAGTCTAAGGCCCACCTTCAGCGAACTGATGAGGTCTTATAAGGCCTAGCAAATCTCCAAACAAAACGGAGTGTTCAACATCTTAGAAAGGTTCTTCTGTCGACATACGATCTTAAAGGAAAAGAAGTTGCCTATACGCCGCGATGTCTGAATTTGGCATCCCCGCGATTTCATGTGGCTGTGTAAAATTACGTTGAGCAATATCAACAGCTCCTTCGGAATCGGCAGGACCTGTCTGAGCCGTTTTATACCAAGCGAGTATTCAAACAGGGCGTCTCTATATCATACGAATTCATTAATCTTATAACTGAGAAGATAAATCATTTTTAAGCAAAAAACAAAACCGACTTCAAATCTCATATAAAAATTTAGGAGTAGCGTTAATTTTTTCATGATCCAATGATCGGATCTAAACCATTAGTATGGGAGCACCTCTGAGACACTACCTTTCCGATGCAAAAAGAATTTTCGATATCGGTTGACGTGGTCCAAAGTTATGCGGGAACATACATAAAAAAAAATAAAAAAAATATTCCGACGAATTGATAACCTCCTCCTTTTTTGAAGTCGGTTAAAAAGGGCCGCAGAACTGAGTCGGTCAAGGATGATTTTCTTTAAAATAAAAACGAATAGATCTGGAGAAGAATGACAACTAGACGAAGTAGTATCTTCTCTCACCACGTTCCTACTGGCAGTTATAATTTAAAAAAAATTGGAGAACTTTGTTTATTTGGGAGCCAGCATTAACACCGGTAATATTATCAGCCTCGAAATTTAATGGAAAACGATTCAGAAATAAAGTCCTCTCGCGTCGTACAAAAACCACATCTTGCATCCTAGCTTGTGGTGCAGGTTGGGTAAGGCTAGGTAAGGTGGCAGCCCCGTGTAACCGGAACTCACTTAGACAATTTGAGCTTGTCCTTAGTGATTCCACAATTTTGAACGGCACCCTAAACTTTATCGATAAAACGCCGCGAGCCGATTATGTGTGGCTATTTAGGGTGTGAGAACCAAAGTACTTCAACCTTAGCCTCGCAAACGCTGGGCACCTAAGAAGGTCGTGTTGAGGTGATTCCACCTCGTCATCTTCCAGCAAACTGCGACATACGGTATCCGGTAGTATGTTCAGCCTAACTGCGTAAATACCGATTGGACATTGATCCGTTAAAACCCCCACCAGAAGTGAGAGCTATGGCTTTGTGAGTGTAAGCAGTGCCCGCGACCGCCCCCGGTCCACCCTCGGCCAGAAGGACCTTGCCTATAGCCGCTTGGCTATAAGAATATACACTCACTTCCCTGACTTTAATAGCACTCCTGAGGAGTGAATCCACCGCCTCCTTGATAGCAGCCACTTCCGCCTGTAATACATTGCAAAAGTCCGGGAGCCTGAACTGCTGATGTTAAGCTCTCGACAGAAGAGCCCACCATCAACCTTGCCCTCCATGTCAACCAGCCTTTCCAACGTTTTCAGTAGAAATTATGAGAGACTGATTGGCCTAAAGTCCTTGGGGACAACATGAGAGCTACTTCCAGCCTTCGGGATGAACACCATCTTGACGACCCTCCAACTCCTGGGAATATACTCGTATCTTACGTAGCTCTCTTAGATTGTGGCCAACCAACGGCACGACACCTCCGCAAGTTTTTGCAGCTGTGCTGGTATGATGCCAATGGGTCCTGGGGTTTGAACGAGTTGATCGCCCACGTCAGGCGGAAGTCATCCAGAAGTTCGGAAAAACAGCGCAGTCTCCACAAACTGCTCTTAAGGAAATTTCCTTCGGGGGAGGAATGGAAGGAAAGTGAGTATCCTAGAGCAAGCTAAGTGACTCCTCGCTACTCATAGTTCAGTGACCTGCCTCATCCCTCAAGTAACCCAGCGGAGCGGGATTTCTAGCGAGAATGCGTCTAAATATGGAGGATTGTAGTGCGCGACAATGACAAAATCCGATGAAGCGGCCCTTGGAGTATTTGGGAGTAATAGTCTTCGAAATCACTAGACGAAGCTGCCCAATTATCTAGTGCTTAACTTAAGGCAGCTAAGAAATAACTTCCAATGTCGCAAGAACACTATTTATATAGCAACTGACTACAAGTGATTTCTACTTGGATGCCAGTATCGAAATGACATTAACAAATGCGCAATGAAAGCTATGTGGCTCCTGGACACTACAGAAGGCATCTCCTCGAGTTTACGGACAAGAGCCAGCAATACCTTGGACATTCATTGTATGTGACGTTTTGCAGACTGGTATTAAATCGCATTTATAGACAAGCATTGTAAATTCACTATCTCTTGGTCTTTGAATACCGTAATCGGGTATCAATACAGAGCTTCAGCTACCTTAAATATCTACTATTTTCTATGTAGTTTCAAGTTTCTTCGAGTTTCAGGGAATATCCTAACTACATAAAGTTTACTCCGAAAGTTCAATGTCGTCCACAAACATTCCAGCAAACATGCATTTGCAGCCAGGGTCATGGCAACCTCATTTATTTGCTCACACCTTGTGAGAAACCACGACTTCCTGCACGTTGTCCTGGTATTTCTATCAATTGTTTTTCCCTATTATACATACAATTTAAAGTGGAAATTAGTGAGCAAACAAACTGCATTTAGTGTAAAGAAATTTGTTTAGCAACTCTAGAGCAAGTGAGAAACAAAAAACAATAATAAAAAAAGCAAAACAAATGACGAAAATTTGTCAATAAAAAATTTGATTAGGAAAAAAAATTCAGACGCACATACATAGCAGCAAAGTTTAAGTAAAATAAATTAGTTTTAATTTTTCTAACCACCCCTTACGGTGCAGCACATTCATACCAACCTACATACATAATGGCGTATCATTTTAGTGCTAATCAGGTATTTTCGTTTGATTTAAAATAAGTGAAATTGGGCGAAAAGTGGTTAATATGTAGATATGTATGTACATATGTAAGGGAAGCGAAGTTTCCTTGCCCAGTGGATGCAGACGAATTTTGAAAATTAAAAATACCAACACGTCTAAGGAAATTCTTTAGTAACCACCGTTGCTTGGGAGTTGTTGATTCTCTGTTGAACTTTAGCCCTGGTCAGCATTTTCGGAAGTTATCATAGACTGCGCTTATATGCTTTGAATTCCGATCATGTTGGCGGCACTGTGTGAAATTTCTTTTGGCATGAAGAAAAGTGGAATAGATCATTACTAAAATATTCCTGCAATTTGCAATTTTAACAGTCTGCGTATAATTAATTAATCCTTACTGGCCTTACCTACCTCAAAATAGAACTTACGTTTTACTTTCACGAAAAAAAAATTTCGCGAAATAACAAATGTCACGAAAATAATAGAATTCCTTTATGAAGTAGCTCGTGACATACATATATATGTACATTGTTAATACTTTTGCAAATACCTTGCAATAAAAACTTTGGACAATTTCTTAAAAGTACTAGTTTTGGGTTTGGTTTTGAAACTGGCCCAAATAGGAGTATTTTAACTTTCTAACTTTACGAAAGATCGAACCGATTTCTGATTGCTTTGCTCTATTTTTTTTTGTCGCCTAGTTGTTCTGTAGGCGGTAAACTAATCTTGTGTGCCAATTGAGATTTCAACAATCAGTAGTGGTATTTTTACCGTTAATTGTCATTTCAACGTCACGGACAACCCAAAGGCGACCAGTTTTTGTGGCTTTCTTCCGCGCGCCAGGTTGCATATGTTGATATACATACTATGTACATATGTATGTACATATTTACATGCATGATTTTTTGACAAAAGTAGGCTAACAGATAGTGCTATAAATAGCTGTAAGCAAAAAACAGGGTGATAAAAATTTTTTCACCGATACAAATAAGATTTTGACAATATTTTTTGTTTATTTAATTAAAATGGTTTATTAATTTACATACGAAGCTTACGCAATTTAATTAACTTTAAACTTGTTGTTGTTTACACAGCTGGTCCCATTCTAATGTAGTTTAAATCCGATCATTGGATCATGTAGAGATTAACGGTAATCTTAAATTTTTGTATTAGAATTGAAGTCGGTTTTTTTTTTTGCGTAAAAATTACTTGATATTTTATATTTTGGTTTTGTTTTTATTTAATTTAATTTTTTTATTTTACTTTTTATTTTCATTTTAATTTAATTTGTTTTTTTTTGCGTTTTCCGTTCATTCAAAGGTCAGGAGTAAGGCAAGCATTTTTCCCCAAGAAGTATTCCGCTTATTAAGAAATTTAGTGGAAAACTTATTTTTTTCTAATTTGCTTAATTTTTACTTAGATTTTTTAGTATAAGATTTAAAAAATAGACATTAATAAATTTGCCAACAAATAGAAAAAAAATTATTTAGAGAAAAAAACAAGTCTGTAGAAAAAAATGTTTATAAGGAAAGGGTAATTTTCAGAAAAAACATCTGAAAAGGTATCATTTTTAGAAAAAAGGTTTTTAAAGAAAGAAAACTATTGAAGGAAGGTAATTAAAATAAATTTGAAAAAAAAAATTGTTTTAAAAAAATATGGTTTTAGAATTAAAAAATATTTCTTAGTAGCAATATTTTCAACAAAAGCAGAATAGAACTACATACATACTTATATACTGAACACAAGAATAAAAGCTTTACGGAGAACAAATTTTAGAGGAAAACAATTTTAGACAATTGAATTTAAAAAAACTGTTGTTTCTTTATAATTGATTAGGAATACTCATAATTCTTTTATCGGCTTCAAAAAGCAAATCGCAAATCGTCTTATACATTTTTTTTATAGGCTTACAGTCCAGAAAGGGTTAATTCAATTTCAAAAGTTTTTTTTTATTTATTTCTTTTAGTTTGTTTTGTTCTATTTTATTTTATGTAATTTAATATTTTTTATTGTACTTTATTTTATTATATTTTATTTTATCGTTTAATTTAGTATAATTTTTATTATTACATATTTTTTTTGTTTTATTTTGTAACTTTTATTTTGTTTATATTTAATTTAAGGATCATTCCATTGTGGCTGATGTGACATTTTACTCCATCATGTGATCAATTATGAATTAGAACCATGTCGTCGGAACTCATACAACAGCAAAAGATAGTTTTTACGATAACTAATGTATGCAATGCATTAAAAAAAATACCTAACGATTTCTTAATTATGTATATGTAAGTTAAAAGTGATTTTAATGTTTTTAACTTTGTATGGAAATTGACAGAAAATAAAAAATCACTTTCCATTTAAATGCTGGTGAAACCAGCGGTTAATTTGTAAAATGTGTATGATCTATACACTTTCGTTTTCCAGAAAAATTACGTTGATATAATCTTAATAGAAGAAATACTAAAAAACATTTAAAGTTTTGACTGGTGTAAAGTAATTATGTATGAAGTAAAAGTTTCCAAAGACAAAACTGACCGATACTTTTTATTTTTTAATATTTTTCAACAGATTAATGAAATGTAGTAAATTTAAGAATTTTTATTTCTTTTTATTTGACTTAATTTTTTTAATTTTATGTTATTTTATTTGCATTTTTTGCATCATAATTTTTTATGGTCCCTGTTTGTGGATTACGTTTAAAGTATTTTTTTTTTTGCAAAAAAAAATAGACAATTTATGTTTATTTGTACATAGTAACGAATTTGCTTAACAACGCGCAGTTTTATTAGCATTACTATGTATAAAACACAAACACCTACACACATACATATGTAAATACATATCCTTCGTTTTTGCGCATCAAAACAGAGTTTAATGACATCCTTTTTCCCACACATAACCTAACTCCGATTGTACATAGACCCACTGCAGGAAGTGAAAAAATTCAGTGCGAATTTAAACGTCCGTACGATAACGGCGCCGCCACACGGGAGCGATAATACATCCGCAGCATTATTGTTGTGATATCAAAGATACGAGAGTTGAGGCAATTAATTGATTAGACATTACACTAATTTACTTACAATTGATTGGACATCTGTTTTATTTTTTTGCAACTCCACGTGTATATATTCATAAAAGTGTAAGCGTGTGCAGACTTTTGGCAAAAATACAAAAATAAAATTGTTAAAAAAAGATAAAGAAAACAGGAAAAAATTGTGATAGTGCAGATTGGCGTGAAATTAGTTGCAAGTAAGTTGTACACATCCTTTTTTATTTGAAAAATCTTTTCGGAAGCTTGTATGCTACATACCACCTTAAGCTTCAATCTGCTTTGACGTGCATGTGCTAGTACAATTGCACTAGTCCTTGCGCCCTTCTCCCCCCAGGTCTGTGGCTACACACACGTGCACGCCGCGCTGACTTTACCTTCAACTGTCTGTTAGCCTTTTGTTCTGTTCCACAATTTTTTAATTCCTGTTTGGGGTGTAATGATGCTGTCAAGGGGGTGTGACAACACCCTTCCTCATTTGATCATTGTTGCAATTTTCGGCAGTGCACGCGGGCGGGTGTAGCTTCTTGACTACATAATCCACGCATAAAATGTGATAAATGACACCCTCGGGTATGCGTATAAAAATCATCGATATGTGCGTGCTTTGGCGGTGATAGTGGTGCACAGTGTTGAATGGTGATTGGAAATGGTGTAGGCAGAAAATAAATTTTTTGAAAGCATTTTTCACTTTGCAAGTAGAAAATTTTGTGGTTGAGAATTATAAAAATTCAGGACGTGAGTTTCATATAATTTTAGGATGACGCTTTTACTTTTTTCCTACAAAGTAAAGGCCCTGCATATATATGCTTTGCTCAAACATCAAAGCATAGGCTTTCTTAATGAGTATCGATCGTGTTAACAAGCGTAATTTATGTTCACCCCACGACTAACTATGAATCTTCCTCTTCGGAATCTTTAGCAGTATTTGAATTATATGGGGGCACTTGCGTAAACTCCCGATTTATACATTGTAAGCTTCAGTAAATTAATTGATATTTCATTTACCTAAAATTTGGCAATAAAGGGTCAGTGAAATTGTAGGGGTAACAGACAACTGTAGGTAGACTACCGATATAAATTACAGAAAGCCAGTAAAACAGCTCATCACGTAATAGCCATACCTTTTACTAACAGTGCCCTTAAATTCAGCGAGTTACTTTGAAATAGATAGGTGATATCTTTTGCTCAGAGTCCAGTTCCTTTCAGAATTTGTTTGAAAAAAATACTATCTCACTGTACGTTGACGAAAATTTGCAGGAGTACCCATACTAATTTGAGGAGTACACTTGGGGACCTCTTTTATTGTCGTCAGAATATCAGATTTTTGAAAGATGCTAAGGCAGTGAACTAACCCTCGTGCATCGTACGAATTCATAATAGGGGGTAAGGTTGCTTTTAATATATTATTTCATTCATTATTTTCCAAAGCTGTGTGAAGAAAAAGTTTACTGCAGTCCTTTGCACCCTAATTGATATGAATTCGAAGCTTCTTAGGGTTTCCACGCACTCAAAAAGCTAGTTTAGTGTCGGCTGCGTTCAAATTCGGCTTTGCTTCCTTCCACACGAAGTGTTTTTAGGCGTTACGAGCTTTTTAGGCTTTCAGCTCTTTATTCGGCTATGAGTTTTGTAAGCTGCATTTGTTACACCTCTAAAGGCAGTGTCACATCATTGGGCATTTGCCCAAAATTTGGTTCAAATTTTATCCCAATCGTGTGAATTCACAAATATTTTTCTTTATTCCAATCACGAAAAACAATTTTTTCAAAAGTTTCAATAGAAGTTCGCTGTATTGTACCAATCGTGTGACTACAAAAAAATTGTCTTCCCTTTCTTTTTTTTCATTTTGCACCAATAGCTGAATATAAAAAATTTACAAATGTAGGTACAAATCGTGTGACACTGCCTCTAAGATTTTGTCATGCGCTTAATCAACTTCACACCACTGTTCTTACCGACGCTTCAGTACTGCATACATCTCTTTACAGCTCAAGCAGCATACAAGCTACTGTTGCTATAGTATTCCCTTCCCATTGCAAAAATGCGAGGCGTTAGGCCATGCAAAAAGATATTTTTTTTTTTTGCATTTGCTAATTGAGTTTAAAATCAATTTGTATTTAACACTTGAACCAATGACACTTGTGCAAGAATATATACAGTTGAAAAATTCGACATAAAAGTAGTAATCGAACAAGTTATCTTCCTTGCCTACTTAAGCCATTTGACGCAGATTAACCCAACACGACAATTCCTCCAACAAATTTCATCAATCCACGTTGTATCACCATACTTTTCTATACAAGTTGCATTATTGTTGCCAGCTAAGTCGATGTAATTGCCGTGTAAATTTAATTACAATAACACTGTGTGAAGTATGTTGTATGATTTTTTTTCGCCTGCACGTGCCGTTGCTTGTGGTTTCATGCCATTTACTACNCCAATCCACGTTCTATCACCATACTTTTCTATACAAGTTGCTTTGTTGTTGCCAGCTAAGTCGATGTAATTGCCGTGTAAATTTAATTACAATAACACTGTGTGAAGTATGTTGTATGATTTTTTTCGCCTGCACGTGCCGTTGCTTGTGGTTTCATGCCATTTACTACTCAACACAGCCTCCTTGGCCATCAAAGCGCGTGTTTTGTGTTGGTTATGCTCAATCATTGCTGGTGTTGACAAGTGGCAACTGGCCGTTGACGGTGTATGCCCACCAGAAATTCCCATTGCGTATGTTTCCAGTAGAGAGCGGTCGAAAATTTGTCAACTTTTTCTAGATTTGCATATGTTGATTGAAAATGTTTTGATGGTACGGCCCGCTTTTTTGAGGGAGAGGGAAAAATGCGAAATTTTCACACGACTCATCGCTTTTTGGGTGGCGGACCAAAGTAAAACAGGTTTTTTAGTTGTCGTTGTTGTTGTAGCAGCATAAAAGTTTCCCAAAGGGTTTTTGGGGAGTGTTGCTGGAGTGACAGTCCTTGGCCAGATATAAATCTGGGTCGTTCCGGTTACGTAGACCCGACTGTCGTCTGACACCCTGCAATCGTGTTGATAGATCGCTCCTTGAAACTTTACCTCAACTCCCAATCTAAATTATTGTACCTGATGCGAAGACTTCATTTTTAATTGAAGGGAGAGATTTCTCTAAGATCTTAGTCGCTGTCATCTCAATCAATAGATAATTAAAAACTGAAAAAGCAAGATGACTTCTTCAGTATTTCCTCGAAACGAGCTCAGGAGCTAGACAAACTTCCTAAAAATACAGGGTGCAAGAGTAACTTTCAAAGAATTTCTCCCTCCCTCGAAGCAAGTATCTTTTACAAGATATATTGCCCTGCCACGTTATGTAAGGAATACCAAATAAAAATTACATAGTGGACTGCACGAACATTACGGAGGCGTAAGTAAGACGACCGCCGTGGTCGAGGGGATATAGGTGCGCACTACCACACGGCAGGACAAAGGTTCCATTCCTGGTCCGACCAATGTGGAATTTTGGCTTGTTTTATAAAAGCGGCCGCACCTTCGGCGATGGGATTTTTTGAGAGAAAAAGTTTCTCAACATCCAGGAACACATCACAAATTGGAGCACAAGTTCGGCCAAGCATTTAAACACATAAAAATATAAAATGCGTGATCCACTTTCGCATACTCTTCGGTGAAAAGATTCGCGACACGCAGCTTGGCTGTCACTGCAGACCCTGATTTTGTGTTCGCACCACCCTTCGCAAATTATCCAGTCTGTCACATTTCGTTTTGCATAGACTGCCGATTGAAGGAGCGTCGCCATTGCACACAAAGCAGTAAAGCATCTGAAAGTACGGTCCATATGTCATCCATCTCCGGTACTATTTTCAGTCTTGGAGTTGTCGGTATAGAAAGTTTACACCAAGCTTCCCAAGAGAGTGACTGGATCTTACCATTGCTGACTTGTTGGAAATCTAACGATGTACTTTCCTCCAAAGAAGACACCAGTTCTCAGTTTGTCCTTAGCTGCCAAAAACAAAGGATATTGCTCTGACAAAATTCTAAACATCTCCATGTGCCCGGAACTGTGATCGTTGTGCCGCAATCCAGAAAAGTGCAGTCGACATATCGTTTTCATTGCCACCTCTTGGATCGCTAAATCCAAAAGGTGGCAAATCCATCAAAGCATTAAGAGCCGGCACTGACTTTGTACTCATGTCGCCGTAATGCCTGTACACACGCTACTTTGTAACCCGTTTAACATAGTAACCGTAGTTTTGACCCGGCTCTACGCCACCATAGGTTGATAGGGAGTCCACTATCAAACACCACAGATCCCTGAGGACATGGTACAAAGGCTTCGTCACCCACAGTCAGCAATATTCTAGATAACATGAAGTGAATCCATCTTATGAGCACATAGTTCAATTGTGTACTCAACTGCTTCCAGCCCTACTTCGATCTTGGTTAAAAGGTCAGGTTGAGCTATTTCACAGTACTTTCCACTTTGGTATGCAAGTTGACGAAAACTAAGGGTGCTGTTCACCAAAACCCTTGATCTTACATACATATGTAGTTTTCGACAGAGGATGTCAGACCGATTGGCCTGAACCTTTTTGCCAGCACATGATCTTCCTTTCCTGGTTTGGGAATGAAGACTATCTACCGCGACTTTCCTCCCAAGAGTGGGAACCTGGCCAAATGAAAGATAGGCCCTAAACACTCTTATTAGAGCACCTATAAGTCTGTATCTTCCACACTTTGGCATTCTCGGATACACAGCATCGGGGTCCGATGACTTAAAGCCGTCAAAAGAGGCTAAACAAAATTTCACAGATTCTTTAGTCACCATCCTTGAGGCTACGTGCCAGTTTAGTGTGATGGCTCTTCCCGTCGCGCTGTCCTCCTTCCTATATCTGCCTGCGACAGGAATTAACCTGCACTTTGATGTGTTGGAGATATGACTGACCTGTCTGCGACACCAAATAGTTTAGAATTCAGGAAAATCGAAAAAAACACAGTAAATGCTTTCCAAAACCAACTCTTCCAACAGCGTTTCTAACTTTTATCCACCAAAATTAATATTTTCCAATTGGATTTAGTGGTGATAAATGACATAGCTGTAGAAACTATCCAGTCTTTCATCTTGCACTTGTTAAAAAAAGGAAAATGTTTACAAATGTTTAAGCTCCTGTTGTTTTTTTAGAAAAGCAAACAAGGATTATAACGGTATTAGGCGAATAAATTTCGAAATCTCTGTATACATATGTCATATAAAAATTACACCATGTAATTGCCGTCTATGCCAATCTATGCTGCGCTATCAGACTGATATAATGCATCATGCATGTATGTACATTAGACTGCATCACTCCCCATACAAAAAAAAATCGGTACTATTTTTCCATTGGAATTATAAAACCTATTATATTTTAAGACGTCCCCCAAAATACTTCGGAAAAATATTAAGATTTAAGTGAGCTGGACCGGTTTGAAAATACCTCTAAAAATGGAGTTTTTTATGAATAAAAATAGTTTCTTAAATATTTTTTTTTTAAATCCCCTCAAATGACAAAGCGGTTTAAGCTTAAAAAATTTGCCTAAAAATATTAAAAAAATTTAAAAAAATATTTGAACGGAATCGTAATGATGAGATTTTTGATGCTGTTTTTTAACATTTTTCAAAGATTGGTATAGGAAACCTTGAATAACTGAACCTAAACTCTTCCGATTTAGACTTGGGAGGTGTCATTAAAAAGGTATTTTCTCACCCTCTTTATTTCTTTGCTAATAAATTCATTCAAAGGACGAAAGATGAACGAACGTCATTTGAAGATGTGTTGGCATTTGAAAAAAAAAACAAAATTGGGACACGAATGTCTTTTTTTGGACAGAAATAAAAACAGTGTGAAAATGCCTTTCTACTGAGATCCCATAAGTCTAAATCAAAATAGTTTCGGCCCAGTTATTCAAGTTTTTCGTAAATCAATCTTTGAAAAAAGTAAAAAAAAAAATCAAAAATGTCATTCTTACTATTCCGTTGAAAATATTTCTAAATATTTCTATGTAAATTATTTAAGCTTAAGCCGTTTCGTTATTTGAGGAGACTTTTTTCAAAAAGTTCTTTAAAAAAAATCCATTTTCAAATCGGTCCAGCTCACTTATGTAAATCTTAATATTTTTCCGAAATATTTTGGTGGACGTCTTAAAATATAATAAATTTTGTAATCCCGGCGGAAAACCCGCAACTTTTTTTGGTGATGCAGTCTAATGTACATACATATGTATGTACATACTATATGTAAGTAGCGTTCAATTCTCAACCGATGTTGCAAGTACTACGAGTACTGACGCTAGGGTGTTTATGAAGCATATACAATCCGCATTTTTTATTTATTAAAGTTTTTTTAGCGCTAGGGGTTGCCCGCTAGTGTTTTCACAACTGCAACAAAACGCCCATTTATTTGTGTACATAGATACATATGTACATACATACATATGTATATACCTACAAGATTTTGTCTTGTTCAATTGTATGCCTTTGGCACTTAAAGGCTTAAAAAGTTATAAATTAACGAATTAATATTAGATTTAGGAAAAAATGGATGTGACATCAACTATATAGAAACAGGTTGTGTTGGATTTGCAACAATATGTCCCTAAAAATGAATGACCTGCAATGTTTAGTAACGCAAACTGATATTTATTATTTATTTTATTTTTGCTAGTTCGAGAAAGCTTACAGCGCAAAACGTCTATGCAATTGGGAGCTGCCAAAGTGGTATCCACCGCGTCCGCGTACACATAAGGGACCTACGAAGGCAATCGCCAACAAAAGCGGGCATCTATTGCAGGATACTGTACGGTGAGTATTTAGATTATAAAATACAGGGATGCCTTAAAGAAATTTAGCATAAAAAAGAAAAAAAATAATAATATTTATTAAACGAAAACAGGAACTAGTTAAAACTAAATTTGTTTGAAAAGCTGCTTTATGGATGCCGCAAATTTGTCCGTAGATCAGAAAGCATGCATATACGTGTGCACATATATTATATAGGGTGGTCCTTAAAATATCAACATATCAATTTTTTATTGGGCCTCCGNATGCACATATAATAGGGTGGTCCTTAAAATATCAACATATCAATTTTTTATTGGGCCTCCGCTTATTTTGTTATACATACGTGCAAAATAAAGATATTCACAAAAATTTTAAAATGTTAAACTAATTTTCTTACGGGTCGCCCCCAGTGTTTGAAAAAAAAAGTAAATCTGATAACTTGAACACTTCATATAAATTCAATAACATAGCCCAATCGATTTATCATGCAATACTAAGCTCTAAAGAATCTAACTTAAGTTTTTTCAGAATAAGTGCAGTATTTTTTTAAATTTTTTTAAGTTCTATAACACTGATTTACAAAAATGTAGTTATCTTGAAAAAATACCAAGAAACTCATTATAGGAGAAGTTATATGAACTTTTTGTGCTCAAACGCTTTTTTAATTTTTTTCTTTGGACAGACTTTTGAGAAATTTTATTTTTGTGTTTCCCGGGATATGATTTCATTCATGACTAAACAGTTAAGTCCGATCAATAGCAATCGGTACTTCGGAGGAAAGCAGTGCTTTGGATCGGAGCGGTGCCAAGGAGCAAAGAGCTAAGGGTCAAAGAATTTTATCTGGAGCGGAGCTGAGGCAAAGCGCTAAAAAAAATGCATTTGCTCCTTAGCTCCTTAAAGAAAAATGTTTAATATTTTGTGTTTGTTATTTTCTGGCCTAGTAACGATTTACATATTTTGAAATATTTTTATTTTTATTTTTGTATTTTCACAAAAATTTTCAAGAATAACGTCTTAAGCTCAATATAAATTTAAAAAAAATGGGAGCAGGAGAGAAGCAAGAACGAACCAAAACTAGCTGAGCTATAACTGGTAAAATTTTGTCGAATTTTCGCGATTTGAAAAAAAAGTAAATTTTTTCAAACCCTGGTAGCGACTCCTAAAAACTATTTTAAAATTTTTTTGGATGTATTTATTTTGTACGTAGAACAAAATAAAGGAGTGCCTAATTCCAAATTTAGATTTTGATATTTTTAAGTGTCATCCTAATATATAAGCTGCAGAAGGCCACTTTGATATCTCTGGGATTGTTGTTTCTAAAAATTCGTTTCACCTCGGGATGGCTTAAGCAGGTTTTACCTAATTAGATTGGAGCTGAACCTAAGCCTATATAAGCGTGTAATTCCGAACTTCAAGACACATGTACACATAGATAAAGATCACCCTATAGGTATATAGCAGAGGTTGGCAGTCTCGGTAGAGCATTTTTGTAGTGTGCGTGCAATGGATGCCAATGTGTGCGTGCAATTGATGTCAATGTGTGCATAGGGTGTATGTATAAGCGAATACGACGCAAATACGCCCACCGTGTGGCCGCTGCCTAGGGCTGGTATATAGGGTGACCCTATAACCCTCTAGTTTAAAGGCAGCGTGTTCACAAAAAACATGCTCAATAAGTATGCCCTAAAAGCTCTTTTACCTGATATCCTTTCAGTTACGTCTGCTTCCCTTTCCCCCTTTTTTCTTATTCCCTCTGTAGTTCGCAATTATACGCTTGAACTTAATATATCCTTCGGCTATCACAACGTGATTGGTTTGGTTTTTCGTTCTTTGATCAGAGGATGCCAGTAGCGTTGCGAATATTTCGCTACTAGTCCCTGTCCCCCGTTAAACATCATCATCGAGGTTATCGACTGGCTTAGTGTGTTGACGTTCATCTTATCAAACGTTTAGGCCAGGTAACTGTCATTTTCATAGGGACTGGACCTAGGACGAGGGATATCAGATGAAGGGGTTGAATATGTCGTGATTAGTGCTTTGCTCCAGCTTTTTGACTGCGACAGGCGGTGGTGACTCTCCGCATCCCGCGCACTCATTGGGCACATCTGGTGGTGCGAGTGTCCCGAGGCAGACGAAGTTCTGTCCCGTCCACGTGTCAAAACGGCATTCACAGGCCGAGAGTTGGTCTAATCGAGACCGATGCGTGGATACATCAGAAGGCATCCCGTGGCAATCCGGAGTACCGTGTTTTAGCAGGTATGTAGCTTCATCCACCGCGTCCTGCTGGTCTCGCCGATCACACGGATGTTCTATAGTTTAGAACTGGCCGGCGGGTCTCTCGCCCCAGCTGAAGTTCTTCGCCTACTGTTAGTACATCGGTGAGGTAGTTTGCTCCCGTTGCTCCAAGACAGTGAGTTCTAGGCCCCCACTATGGAATGACTAAATTTTTCTTCGGGCAGAATCTAAACTAAAGTTGACCATCTGGTCTCATTCCAATTTTTTAAGCTTTCCAAAAATTCTATACAGACAGACTCAGGTTAAAAACTCTCTTTGGCCAACAGTAAATTTTTTTTTCAGCACTTGTGTTTTTAATGTCTATTTATTGATTTGTTTTTAGTTCGGACACAAATCCTTGGGGCTACTTCCGCAGCACTTTTGAGCTACCTCGTAAAATAACGCGCAAATTTGCCGACGAGTACAACGAGTGTCTAATTAGAAAACACAAATGGCGCAATTTCCCGCGTAAGAAACCTGTTTGTGAGAAAAAAGATGAGCCACCGAAATGTGAAGACAAATGCGAAACCATCAGACGTATCTTCAGTGCAGGTGAGCAAGGCATTGGAAAGTGCGCCAAAGGTAAACAGAAAAAGGTGAGCATGGAATAATTTTGTTTATTTTTATTGTTTTAATTTTTTATTAAACATTTTTTTTTTTGGTTTTCAAACATTCTTCACTTAATTCATTATTCTTCGGTCACCAAAAGATGCCTACGAAGAAGAGTTCCGAGAAGAAGACCGACGATGATTGCGAAAACTTAGCCATTTCATAGTCACCTTAGAATATTTCAGTTATTTTCGTACATGTATCTATTTTGTAAATCTTTACTGTAAAATCCGACTAAATAAATATCATTTGTCCTACTATTTCTTCCAAGTATTTCGATTTAGAGTACGTACCAGGTGATTTTACTCCCTACGAAGCGCAACACCCTTCACGGGATCAGCTGCTGCAACAAAAGTACGAGCGCGACAACAATATTGAACCCGACCTGCCATTGGACAAACTCTATTTGGGTGACCATCTCTGTCAGACGGAAAAGCCGGACGTAACGCTTACGCGTAAAATACCGCTACCTCTAACGCGTGTCTCTTCACCCGTCAGCACCACTGTCACGCCTCTGCTAACGCGCGCTATTCCGCCTGAGCTGACTGTACCACAAAAAGACTTTATGTCACCAGTGCAGCCGGAAACATCGTTATTGCCGCAAACCGCTGCTTTAACTGATTCCGTTGGACCAAGTTTGGAATATTTTAAGAAGAAATTCGGCTATCAAAATCCAGATTCGGCTACGGCACAAAATACTGAGCAAAAAATGCCGCTTAAGTCAATTACCGCCAAACCGAATGAACGCTCTCCTTCGCCAATCATTCCAGCGTATGCCAATTTCGAATTGGCCAAGCGCATGCATCATGATAACTTGGACCATCAACCGCTACCCGATTGCGTGGTGGACATGGCGTTCCGCAAACGTCAAATGACTGGCGATCATCCTGGCCTAGCGCTCGATATTGCGCCCTTTGCTACGGGCGTGGGCATTAAGACACATAATGCTGGCCCTACACATTGCACGAAAATGAAGGTGTTTCGACCGCGCACTTGCGGCGTTGTGCCCAAAGCTTACAAAGGTGACTTATCTCGCGCAATTACTTCCGCTCAGCCGCAGCTTAAGCCGATGACTGCTATGGATCTGGCTATAGGCTGGGATTATAGAGCCCCCAATCCGGCGGATGAGCCACAACCGCCGCCACACATAGATGGCTCCGACGACACGGCTGGGCCGGCCGTTTTTAATTATGTAAAAACGCCACGCGATGAAACAACCACAGATCTTGGCCGCTCGGCGGGAGTTTTCAATAACACGCTCGGCGAAACGGGCTTCTTCGATAAGGACATAATGCAACGCAAGTCAGACTTTGGCGGTCGTATAACTGAACGCGACGCCGACTGCCTTTGTAGCACAGACGACTGCGTTGCACGTGCACCACGAGCGCGCAGCATGACGCGCGATTGCGCAATGCCCACAAATCGGCTGTGTAAGCAATATCAATCATCGCCAAATATACTGGCCGACGAGGGATACCGCGCGCTGCGTCAAAAATATCTTGGCGGCAGCGGCGGCGGTATTGCAGGTTCGTGCGAAGCGCTCTTACCCGAGCATGGCTGTAGACGTTCGAAGCACAATAATGGTGCGGCAGGGTTTTTAAGGCGTGCGAGATCAATACTCTGTCACAAAGTGGCACCTGAGCCACCACACTGTTATCATGCAGCGCCCCCGCGCGTCGGCTGCAAAGCGCCACCATTTCGAGTAGGCATACCGAAATATGATGCAGCCGGTCATTTTATTAGCACGGATAGTGGCTGCAGCTTGGAGAGTCATAATGCGAGTCGAGTTTTGGTGGTGCCGCGCCAGCGTGATCCCTATGCCAAGCGAAATTATGACATTGATACGTTGGTGCCACCGTTTCGTAGTTTCGGCGGTGGTGCTGGAGAGGGCGGCTACCCAGAGCATTGGCGTTTGGCTAGTGTCTATCAACATGCTTATAAACCGCTGGAGTTACGACGACGGCCGCTACTTCAAACAGTTTATAAATAGTGTATAGGATATCATAATGGTATTACCAATAGATTGGTTTTTGAATTAAACAAATAAACGATGAAAAGCGTGTTGATTTCTAAATTACGGCAAGAGCTTCATAATTTTCTATATACATATGTATGTATCACAATAGTTGCATTCCAGATGCTTCACGATTTGCAGGTTTTTACACCTTTTACCTTCCATAAGATTTATTAATGGAGAAAAAAGCTGATCCTGCAAATCCTGTAAAACCTGAAAATCGTGAAACACCTGGAACGCAACTAATGTATGTATATATATCTTGAGGACCTCATCGTTTAATTTTTTTTCAGCTGTAAGCCGACGAAGAGTTTCCATAAAATAGTAAAAATAAAACAAATATGTTCTTACTTTTATTGCTCTCGCCAATTTTCATGCGTATCCTTAATACTATTGCCCTGACCACTCTGAACATTGCCCACTTCCAAATGCTTCCGCTGTATCTCCTCGTAAGTGTTAAAGAACTGTTGGGTTTCTTGTGCAACTTTCGTCAGCAACTCAAACCAAATTGCTTCCGTTAATTCGCTTGCGCCTGTGTACATTTCATTGCGGGGTGTCATGAACACAAGCGAACGAAAATCTTCAATGAGTTCTCGCAACGGTTTGTGAAAAGTGGAAATATCATGATTTCCTGCAAATAAATAGGTAAATGATGCAGTAATATTTAAATTGAATAATTTTATTAAATTTGTACCATCAACTTCCGGCAGCAAGAAAGTATTTACTTGCCGCTCAGCTTCTGATGTGCGCGTTTTCTTTTGTTTTTGCTGCTCGGCAGTTTGTCCTACATATATACGCAGCTGGGAATCCTTAAAAAGCGCACGCAGCATACGATTCATGCGCTCTTTTTGGCTTGGCACGAAATCCTGCCGCTTAGCGCGATTCTTTACGAACAGCACATTGGGAAAGTAGTCACTAACGAAAGGCTTATTGTCATGTGTTGGCTTCATAAGCTCGGCAAATTGCAGTAAACGTACGAAGTTCATATTGAAGTAGTCATCCTGCACAACAATCAATAAATGGCAGATGGTTAGGAAACTTATAATTTGTCTCAGATCATCCAGCTCGTTGGTGGTCATGTCTTTACGATAGGAGTTGCACATCACCGGCGGACTATCAAGCAATATCAGCCGATCAGCAGTGATGTACATATGTGTAGACTCGGTTCGCGAACGAGCCGAACATTTGTGGGGCTTTAATTTGGTTGGAAAGAAGCCATCTTCCTCAGAGAAAAGCTTCGTGTAATAATCATAATTTACATCATCACTAGCCAGCAAATTAAGAACTGTTGATTTACCAACTCCCTGTGTGCCAATCACACCTACTACTAGAAAATCGATATTTCCTTTCACAAGCAACTTGCGCGTACTTGCGTTTATTACACCGGTCGAAGAGATAACAGTGGCAGGACGTGTCATTTGCGGTAATGGCTCGAGTATCTGCCCTGTTGTAGTATTTGTATCATTCGCATTAGCATTGGTTTGAGGGGTGTGCTGTTGTAGTTGCTCTTTCGTAGTAACTGGGCTGACACCACTTAACCCTGGGCTGTGTGCCACTTCGCTACGAGTAACAATTATGGTCTTCAGTGGTGCAGCACTTGCAGATGCTTCGGCTACTTCTGTATCGTCTTTATTGTCAACGCGTGGCTTGAGTAATATTTTGGGCTGCACGTCGACATCCGCATTACGTCGAGCAGAAGAATCCTCTTCAACATTGCGTTTTGCTAGAATTATAGGGCGCTTGTCATCTGGTTGCTGGCGACGGAAATTAAAAAAAAAAATACTTTTAATAATTTCATTTTATTTTGGAAACGTACATACCTTGGGTTTTCGGAACCGGCGGCGCTTATTGTCCGACATGTCAAAGGGTCAATCAATGCACCATTTGGGGATTTCAGTTGGTTGACAGATTATCCAAAAGCCAGTGAACGCACACTTTAATTTTGGCTAATATTTCACGACAACAGTGCAATCCCAGTTCACAAATAAACAAAAAACAATTGTATGTTCAGAGGCGTACGAAAAAGATTTGTTCGTGGGTCCTGTGACGTTTTCTGTAGGGGAGGTTCTAGTGAAATATACCTAATTAAAAATAAACTAAACCAAAGTCATTCATATGTACATACACATTTATCATTTAACATACATATGTATCAATTTCTATATATGGATAACATAAATACCTATATTCATATTTTACATGTAAACCTCAATTCTCTAAATTAATCCCGGAAGTAGAGCTGTCAAACTATCGACGATACTAGGTGCGTTCGTTTAAAATCTCCAGCAGAAACCATGAACCAACGACTACAGATCACCTAATCAGCCATCGTTGTATTTGTAATCGATTTTCAGAAAAAAGTTTTCGTAGCGTTTTTGACGTTTTTCGGTTTTGTTTACACAGTCTTCTACCTCTTCGTAGTGATTTTTTTAGCAATTGAATGTGTTTTCTGCAGCGATTTTAATTATAAATTTTGGTTTATTACATATTTATGATATAAAATAAAGTGCTGTGTGATCGGAACAAGTTTGTGCGTATGTTTGGTTTGCCAAAAGGCGTAAATTTGCGTGAAAAGTGGGTGCACGTTTGTGGCCAGAACGTTGGCATTGAAAAATCGACCCGTGGTAATGATATGCGATTGTAAAACACTTTCAATCATGAAAACCATATTTTATGAACTTTTTTTGCTAATTGTCATCGAGCTTAACTTTGTATATTTTATAATAAATACCAATACTCAATCACCGCGCCTTTTTCGTTTTCTTTGTTTGTTTTCATTCTTAGGCAGATGTCAAAAACACTCAGAAATATACTTTTTTCTTGCTTCTTTGATTAGGTGATCTTGTATTTTTGGTTCATGAGCAGAAACCAACCAACTGCCAAATTCCGGCGAAATGTCATCTGTTCTCTCACAAGAGAGAAATATCCAAAATAGTACGCGAACAGAAAATTTGCAGAAACTTGCAAGTTAGACGAACAGCTGATATAATTTTTGTTTACATACAAAAGTGCAAAATTTAAAACGTACGAAAAGTCGTCGTAAAGTGTTATACTGACACAATTTATTGATTAAACAAATAACTACATATTTCTTACAAGTTTAATTAGTCGCATTTTGTAATTTTTATCTTCCAAACCATCAAATTCAATTTTGTGATTTGCGTAAATGCCAACCAGCTGTTTTTGATCAGCTGTTTCCCTGTTGGCAAATTGCTGTTGGCAAAAATTTTTCCAACAGAAACTAACAGCTTCCCCTCAAAATGAAATGTCACTTTGCTCTCTCAATTTCCCCTACTTTGCAAGTTTTTTGCGTACGCGAACGCAAAAACCTGTAAGTTTTGGTTAAACTTGAACAATTAACAGCTACGCGAACGCACCTACTATCGATGGTCTGATCATTGGTTCAAAGTGAAAATACTTGGCAGGATTATTTCATGAACGAACGAATAAAGATCACCCAGGACGGTGTGCGAGAAAAAATCATTTTTTTTTCCAGTGCCCTCATTTTTTCGCCGCCATGTGAATTAAACGGAATGAAACCATGTGTGTGCATGAAACAGCCGATTAAAAATGCCGTTATCAACTATTATTAATTTTTTCTTAAATGCAATAACAAATACACGGTTGCCGTGCTGGGTGNAATGAAACCATGTGTGTGCATGAAACAACCGATTAAAAATGCCGTTATCAACTATTATTAATTTTTTCTTAAATGCAATAACAAATACACGGTTGCCGTGCTGGGTGATCTGTTTAGTTGGTTCATGGCATTATTTCTAAAAGCGCCATTTTTGTTAAGCATGGATATAGCAATGCAGTATATTTCAAAATACTGTCAAATTGAGCAATTTCAGAAAGCAGTTGCATAAGCAGTGGCACCTTGAATGTAAAGTGACTTTCGAAAGACATTTTTTTTATTCCCAAAGGCGAATTGAAGGGAAAATTCCTGAAATCGCTTTTTGACTGTTTACACGGCGAATGAATTTCTCGCAATATTTCTCGATACTAAATGCAACCGTAAGACGCTAAAATAAACAAATTTATAAAACCAAGATAATGAAAAATAAACGGATTTAGAAAAACATATGAATTAGGTCGATATTATCGATATATGTATATCGATTGACAACTCTACCCGGAAGCGGGATTGAACCCCAAATACTTAATATTTCTTTGACCCACTCTCTCCTATCAGCTGTTCGAGTGTCAAAATGGGATGTAAACAAACGCGAATTCACCACTGCACCACGCACCAGCTTCTTTGACCATTGGATCAGTAGGGGATTTATTTATTTTTTGCAAATGAATAGCGCATAATTTTTTTTTTAATAATTGTAAAAAATGCCAATGATAGTAATCTCCGGCTTCCCTGCCAGCGGCAAAACTACCCGCGCCAAACAGCTCTTGGAATACTTTACTGACAAAGGGAAGAAGGTAAATCTCATCTCGGAGAATGTTTCTATAGCAAATGCCGGTTTTCCGAAAAACGAATACTTTGCGGATTCTCAAAAAGAAAAACAAGTGCGTAGCGATATTAAATCGGAGGCACTACGGATGCTTAATAAAGAAGATGTGGTCATCGTAGACGCTGGCAATTATATTAAAGGTACAATTTAAGTCTACTACAAAGGGTGTAATAATTACTTTCGCAAATTTAAGGCTATCGCTACGAGTTGTTTTGCGCCACCAAAGCGGCACGAAGTACGCAGTGTACACTTTTCTGTGGCATACAGGAAGCGCGAGCATGGGAGTTTAACCAACAGCGCACTGGTGCAGATGTGTTGGATGATCGAGTGGACAATTCGAACGTGCCATATACACGGGAAATATTCGATGCTTTGTGTATGCGTTACGAAGAACCGCATGGCAACTGCCGTTGGGATAGTCCATTGTTTGTGGTGTTTCCCGATGATGCGCTTAATTTAGAGACTATCTATGGCGCGCTGTACGAGTCGAAACCCCTGCCACCAAATCAAAGCACACAAAATGTAAGCAAAGAAAAAAATTAAAAAAGCATATATTTAGTTTGTTCATTTCTATGATTCTTATAGCCACCACTAAGTGCTACAAATTATCTATTCGAGCTGGATAAGTTAACGCAACAAATTATAGCCGACGTCTTGGCTGCACGAAAAATTGGTAACACCGGTCCAGTGCCGGTGAAAGATAGTCAGGTGAAAGTAGAAGTTCCGGCGGCCGTAAATGCTATTCAAATGAATCGGCTACGAAGACAATTTCTAAATTATAGTAAATTGCATCATGCGACTACTAGCACATTGGACAAAGTGCCGCAATTGTTTGTACAATTTTTAAATTCAAATTGTAATGAATAGCTTAGCTTTTATTTAAATAATATAATTTGCAATTTCAACACCTTCACGCTAACAAAAAACGAGAAAAAAATGTAATACTTGTAAGTTGTAATGTTTTTAACTGAAATCCCATTTGCTCTTATTATATTTTTCTTATTTTGTTGATGAAGGTGTCTTAATACAATTGCATTATTTCATATTATATTTCCTATTGTATTTCTATCGTAGATGGATGCAAGACAAATAGAAAATAATAAAAAGCTGCATCCAGTTAACTTTATCATATGCATAGCACTGTGAGGGAAAAATCAACCAAATTAAAAAATTGTTTGCCACTAATTTCAATACAGGTAAAATTTTTATTTCATTCATTTCGTGAAGTGTGTTCTACCAACTATTTTTGCAACTTTGTAGATTTTGAAATCATAGTTCTGGTTCCGGTAATACTTTGCTTAAAATTACAAACATACTCTACTATAGTATCGTGTTTTATGCTTTTGCATAATGCTTTAATTAAACTTAAAAACATATTCCATGTTAAAGAATTCAATTTCATATGCCTAATATTCAATATTTATACTACTTGATCATAAAAGAGAGCATGGGCTTGTTCGAGAGGCAATCACAAACGCAATGTTGCGAGAATTATTAAAGTATCACGATCGGTGTGAATTTTCTAGCAACGTTTTATCAGTTGGGAAGTTGCAACAGTATTGCAAATTTTCATCAGTGCTGCAGTATTGCCCCTTTTATTACGTGGCTCGAACAGGCCCCGTATTATACGTACAACTTTGTTGTCATCAAGCGAGTTGTGTTTTTATAAACACATAGTCATTCTGATTTGCGTATGCTTACGCTTGTGGAAAAATTTGTTGTTTGTGTCAAAAAACAAAAAACTAGGATTGCAAAATGACTAATAACTAAGTGTTAGGCAAGATAATACCACAGAATAAACAAATAATACATTTTTTTTCAAGCTTCCGGCAACGCTGATCACGATGTGTGTTTGTGGCGAGATGTTAACTTCATGTTATTCACAGTGGATGTGATGTTAACTTCTCTGCTCTGTTACGGGTCGCCATGTTATTCATAGTGGTCGTGATGTTAACTTCTCTGCTCTGGTCCGGATTGTAATATTACGCCCGCCGAAGAAAAATAAATTTGTATGTGCTGCGTCTTGTGTATACTGTTTATTCTGTGATAATACCTTGCGCCTTTTGTCGTCCCTTGACTGTCACCGCTGACGCCTAGCAGCTGCTTGAACTGCCGTCAATACTATTGATGTTGGTATGCGTTTCTGTAGCCATTGCTGTAGTTATCTTCATAGCGACTACTGTTGCTGCTACTGCCAACGCCGCCATCAATGAGCTCATCATATTCATCATCGCAATGCGATGAATCGTCAATGCGGTCAACTGCATTTTCTGGCTTGCGGCAAATCCAAAATAAGCTTTCGTATTCACTTTTAAGCATGGATTGTGGGTTTTGTGCATATTTAGTGCGTACGCCTGTTTGGCTACGAAGAAATTCAAAGCCAACCATTTTGATGATTACCTCCAAATTTTCAAAAGTAGGTTCGATGCTATTCTCGCCCTGTATATCGCTAAAATGATAAAGTAGTGGGCCCAAATTCACCCAAATGCCGCCTGGTTTCAATATTCTGAAAACAAAAAAAAAACGTATAGTTTTGAAATTACAATTTGATTTTGTATTTTGAGTTAAATTTCCAACATTAAAAATTGCCCTAGTTGCAAGCGTTAAAATTATACAAACATAATAAATTATTACAAAATAAGTTTCATATAAGTCGTACACACTCGTGCTTATATATTTATTATAAGCGTGCGTAATTTAAATCACTTGCCCACATGACAGGGACAATTTCGTTAAATATATACTTGCCTAAAAATAGTTTCAATAAAGTCCACAATATTATTAGCGCAGTCGATAAAGAAGCAAGTGGCGACACAATCATAGCTGTTAGGCGTTTTGTAGACCTACAAAAAACAAAAATTTAAATGCGATAAAATAAGCACATACATACATACATATGTACGTATGTACAAAGTATCAAAGTTTTATGAACAATCGAAAGCCCGTCTAAGGTGTGCGAACAAGTAAATAAACACTATTGGATATAAGTGCGCGTGGATGTGCTTGTTGTTTTGATTGATGAATGGATGAGAAAAAAACTAATTTTAAGCGGCTCATACAACTACAATTGGCAAGTATTAAACTTTTAAGCTCCGTCTTTTAGAGCAAATTCTGATCTGTAATATCTCTATAAATAACGCATATTTTTCAGTTTAAACTCGCTGGCTAGTAAAAAATATGGGATTTTGGGTGTTTGCGTTTTCTAAACTAAGTATTTATAGTTAATCAGAGTTATCACAGAATCCTTCGTAGTCCGATTATTCGTGAAATCTACCATTGAATTCGAATAGCTACGAACGTAGCGTATACTTTGAATACATACGTTCGTAGCAATTCGGATTCAATTCAACCCACTTTCGTAGATATCACGAAAAATCGGACTACGATGACTACCAATATCAATTTCGCTGTCACGCTTCACTTTAAATTATTCCGCTAACATTTCTCTATGTACCTCCAAAAAGTCGCCTGCTGCCATCATTAAGTTGCCCTTAGGTGGATTTTTCGCTGGGCAAATGTCAGGAAACCGAATGGGCATCACTTGATCTGCCATACGTAAATTATTTACGAACTGATGCACCCAGGGATATAGCGTGTACTTATTTTCCTCAGTGCAGCTATAAGTTTACAGGAAATAAAATCTATTAAAACATTAATCAAAATAAATTTCATTAATACTTACAGATTTAAGACAAAATATGAGGCTATTAGCATAAAATAGGAAACTTCATTGCCTTCACATTCATAGCCACGGTAGGCTAGTTCATAGGTTAGACGTCCAAGCCCAGCACCAGGTACAAGAATTTTCACTTCATTAAGTGCACTGAAATGACAAGAATGGATAATCAAAATCTGTATATAAACTAACTCCAAAATATAAACTTACAATTCGCTAGGCTTAAAAAACTCCTCGATAGCATCGATGATCGGTTTGTACGATTGTTCACGCTCCTCGGCGCAGGATGCACTCCAATCGCGCGCAATTAACTTTAATGTCGATTGGGCCTTTAAAATTTTAAAAGGTTCAACATCAGCTTGCTCTGTTGCCTGTGGCAAGTAAGTATTTGATGTATATTTTTCTACTATTTGCAATTATAAAATTGCAGTTAGTGTTTTAATTGGTCAGTAGATAAGTTTGCATAGAAAATCAATATAATATTACAAGTAATCGTTAATAGAGGTATTAACTAGCCTATTAATGCAAAGATGTTATTAATTCATGTAAAACAAATGATCAGCTTTAGAAGCTACAACAACAACACCGTCAGCTTTATAAAACTCCTTACATGTTCCATATCTTGACGCCTAATTTTGGTCGCATGCCCATCGATGTCATGCTGAGCAACGTAAATCTGTTCGGAACCGTCCATATCAATAAAATCGACATTGTCGCGCAACATTTTCCTGATAACCTTCTGATTCTCATCGATACAGTCTCTTATAACACGCAAATGATTGCGATACTTGGCCAACATGTCCTGATGACGTTTAGGAAGACTGTTGAGGTAGCTTTCAGTCTTATTTACGCGCGCATAGCAGTATTTTCTAAAAAAAAAAAACAATAAACATATAGTGAATATTTACACTAAAATACGTTCCTAGCAACGCGCCCCTACTTTTAAACGAAAAGTACATTTAACCGTTGAGTAGTTGCCTAGTAAACAGCAGTTAAATAAAAACGCGTCAATTGATATTCACAAGGTTAATGATTGTACACACATTCTTCCCACACACCCTAACTAACAAAGCCTTACTAACATCAGCGCCTTAACAGCGGGTGTATATTTCATAGCAACATCGTAACAGCTGCGTCGTTCCCCTAACCTACGTGAGCATGAACATATATATAAGCGTCGCCTTCAGCGTCAAGCTCTTATCACTCATTACACATGGTTTTAACAACAACAAAAAGCTGTACTTTTATGAGTGGCACTACTGAAGTAAATTCATTAAATCCATTAGTGGAAACGGGTCAAAGAACCAATGGACTCTATCGTCACTACTGTTCTCTGCGATAAGCGTAAAGCAATTTTACACATGCGTCTAACCTCAAAAATAGAAAAGGCATCCCAATTATAATTGGCACACAAACCTCCAGTAGCATTATCAAAGAAAATTATCAGCTACATTTGTAACAGCTGGTACATTTACTCACTGATAATAGCGCAAAGCTGCTATGATCTTCTGCATATGCTTGCGATCTTCCTCTGCCTCTTCAGGATTGAGCATTGGTGGATTCGAGGCGATGTTGTATTCGCTTAAATTTGTGGAAGCTGGCTTTCGTGAGCATGAGGCCTGCTGCGAATCATTCATGTCTGAACACGTTTTTTCGATTACACTGCAAAAGTACTAGCTTGATTTCCCGATTCTCTTCTTTTATCTCAAAATACTGCTGCCACAAATGATTGAGTACACGCGGTCCTCGTAATATTAAAATACATATAACCAATTGAAATACCGCCTGGCGAACTATTTTAATTACATCTGTACATATTATTGCACAATTCCAAAGGAAATTTGACTTAAATTTGGAAGATCTCCTGCACAAAATATTAAATATGTAAAATAAGAACACTGCAGGACAACGAAATGCCGTGCACGATTACACTACAGAACCAGACATTAAAATTCTCAACACAAATGAAATCCAACGAGTGACAAACACAGATATGTATTTCACTTAAGGGTAGGTAGACACGTAGTGGCTTGGACTTGCCACCGAAATTTTTGCTGTAGTGCAAGTGGATATCTGTTATTGAAAACTTGCAGCCAAGGCGAATTACGAGGTGGTGTTAGTAAAAATCACTGTTGTCCTTCTGAATGTCAAAATGATTTGTTTGTTGTATTTTAAGGTGATTCTTGCGAATGTGAAAAATCGCGTGGACAAAATTTCCGTGTATAAACACAGTCTTAAAGATTTACGTTCTTTGGTACTGGATAAAGGCCTGTATGCAGTTCTCAAGAAAAGCTAAAATTCCATACAAAATGATGTACAAGAAATGGCTAAGAAATTTTCTTGAGCCGAATTTCCTTCAGGCAGTACGCAGTTCTTAAGAAATTTCCTACGCTTTTTACTACGGTTTTCTAAAGTTTTTTGTGAAAAAAAGAGCACAAGGCATAAAAAGCGTAGCAAATTTCTTATAAGAACTGCGTACTGCCTGAAGGAAATTCGACTCACGACAATTTCTTAGCCATTTCTTGTACGTCATTTTGTATGGAATTTTAGCTTTTCTTGAGAACTGCATACAGGCCTTTAAAGGTGAAATTAGTCAAGAACGCAGAACGCATACTTAAACGCAGTCTGTATATGCAGAATTTTGTCGATTACTGGGGCCCTCAGTGTTGCTTAATACAGTGTTGCCATTCATCGGTGGCTTTTTATAAACTTACCTTTTCAACTTCAATTTTTCGTGCTATAATAGATCGTAGCTAAGTATAAACTACTTACTTTTCAACAAAAAAACCTTATTTAATAGTAAATTTCAAAGATTTGTAACTGGTTTTGAGTAAAAAGTTTGCGTAAAAGTTCGTCAGCGGAGCATTTGTTTACATTACAAGTACCATGAACGAAAGACACAAGATCACGCGGGAAGGAAAGAACGAAAAAAGTTATTTTCTAGCTGCCGAAATCTCGACGCCATCTTTGTTGTAAGAAGTGCACGACGAAGAGAACGGAGAAAACCGCGAAATTGTTGAACGCATGAAAAATCATTTTTATTATGCAAATTCTTCTATAAATCATGCCGTTGTGTTAAATTATTCTTTATCTTATGTGTACACACATTGTCACAAGCGAAAATGAAGAAAATTGCAGTAAAAAGCCACCACCGAAGAAATGTAAACAAACGGCTAATGTCAAAATCGTACAACTTTTTTCCTAAATGCAATTCTAACGGGCTAGTCTCCTGCCCGCGTGATCTTGTCTTTTTGGTTCATGACAAGTACCACTCTATTCCACTTTTCTTTAACTAACCCCCCTATCATTAATTCGTACGATGCACGATAAACGCTTGCATTCTGTTATCCCTATTACGAACCGATGTTCGTCGTAGCAAATCCGATAGTTAGCGTTTTTGTGTTGGTTAACGCTAAAAAGTGTACAAAAACCACAGACATTAAAAATAATATACATCTGTCGGGAATATGAAAAGAATAATACGAAAACTAATTTCTACGATACGCATGCAAGCAAGGGGGTTAAAGAAGATTTAATTCAACACGGCAACACGTTAAGACGATGTCAACCGAACCAAAAAACAATAAAAACGCTACGAAAACTTTTTTCTGAAAACCGATTACAAATACAACGATGGCGGATTACGTGATATGTAGTCGTTGGTTCATCGTTTTCTTTTACATGAAAATGGCCAAAATCGGCGGTTCGCGGAATACATCAACTTTGTTATCTACATCGTGTTAATTCCCGCGTTGATCCGGATCAACGCTGCCGTCTGTTTATGCGTTTTGACAATTTACATTTCTGAGCTAAATTATTCACCCTGTGCTAAACGTAAATAAACTCCCCTTCCTTACCTGACCCCGTTATCAGATGTTCAGGTGTTAAAAATAGTTCATAACGCCGCGTTTTATTTATTTTACATTCTCATTTCAGTCCTAGTTGAAAAATAATTTAAAAATAGAATATGCCAGTGCGTCAGAAGAGGGTATATTAATGCGGACGGGCCCTTAAAAACAGTCTTTAAATCATTGTCCATCAGAGTGCTATCAAAAATCTGAGTAAATCAAGGTTGAGCTGCGCTTATACTGGTAAACTATTTCATATTCATAGTGCAGCTTTTGGGTCGAACTGGTAATAGCATCGAGTCCCTCGAAATGTCAGGTGAGTACATCTAGTATTTCTTTTTTCGAAATATAAGTCAATTAAATGTTTTGCTTCGAAATTAACTGCTTTAGTTGTTCGAGGACTCGTGGACTGGTGAGAACGTGAAGATCAATGCCAACTTTTCTACGCATACAAGACTTTCATAAGCTCTTAGCCGCTTTTGGCAGCACAACGCTGCCGCCGGCATCTGCAACTAAAAAGAGCAATAGCCAGGCGAACAGAAGAATGAAGTCAGCAGTACGTAATGGCACAGCAATTCAACGAGGCGATCGCATACTTACGGAACAACCATTTGTCTTTGTGCTGCAAGCCAAATACCGTAAAGAGCGCTGCGATAATTGCCTGCAAGCGTAAATGATGGCGTGAAATTTCGGAAAAAACGCAGTCACATTAATATGTTTTATTTTCAGCTGCAAGGTATTGAAATGTGCCAACTGCCAGTACGTGTATTATTGCGGTCGTGACTGCCAAACGCAATGCTGGAGGCTGCATAAAATCGAATGTCCATTCCTAAAGCGCATTTATCCGCGTATTGTGCCCGATGCAGCACGCATGCTTTGTAAATTGATAATACACTTGGACAAGGGAGGCGATCTAGTGCGTGGGTACTACACTGAAACTTGTTCACGTCGGTTTCGTGACATGATGTCCCGTAAGATTACATTGATTAACTATTTATGATAACAAATTTAAGCTTTTTGATAAACAGATTATGGTGAGATAAAAAATGACGCACGACGTTTGGAGCATTTAGAATCTTTGCATGGCGTGTTGCGAGATATGATGGGAGAAAATGCTATAGTGCCTAATCTAACGGAATTAACAAGTATCTATGGGAGGGTAAGTATTGAATAGGATACAAATTTAATTATAATTTAATTTTCTATCATTAGAAAAAAAGAAAAAATTATTAAAATACGATGATCCTCAACATCTCTCAATTCATGCTGGTCGCTCATTAGCGAGTCAAAAATACTGCATCTCAGTACGTATGTATGTATGTACATGCATATGTATGTTCCTATGTATATACATGTGTGAAATCCAAAACAAAGTTTAAAATTTCTGGCTAGTGGCCAAGAAATTCGGAAAATGATTAAAGTCATGCACTCGCTAAGAAAAAAATAAATAAATTAAAAAATAGGTGTGCCGGTAGCATTTTACGATGCCTCAGCTGTGCTTTCAGTTTCACTTCAGATCTCCTCCCCTATAGTATTTGTATGTTGGCGCCAAGGTTTTGTAGTGAACGTAACGTAATTTTTTGAACCCAGTGCAATATCTCGCGCAAATAAATCTGTAAAGAAGCGGCAAAATAAACATAAAAATATAATTTGCCACTTCCACAAATTTTGAATTTATTAGTATTTTTTTTATTTTAGTTAATCACTAATGGCTTCAGCATACTCGACCCTGAAATGAATTCCATTGCCACAGCTATTTATCTAGGCGTTTCAGTAACAGATCACAGCTGCAAGCCAAACGCGGTTGCTACTTTCGAGGGTACTACCTTACATGTGCATGCAATCGACGACATCGAGTGCTTGGATTGGTCCAAGGTTCATCAACTACGTTTTAAAAATTAATGTTGTTCAAACTAATTGCACTCCCTCACTTCAGATCTTCATCAGCTATATAGATCTTCTAAATACACCTGAACAAAGGCGTGCCGAGCTTCAAGCGAATTATTTTTTTCTCTGCGTATGTTCGAAATGCACTGATGTGCAGGAAACACACGAAATGCTAGCTGCTGCCTGTGGCAATAAAAATTGTAATGAGTATTTAGATATAAATCTCAATAACTGTCCACGTTGTGATACTGGCGTCAGTCCGAAGCAACGGAATGGATACAATGAGGCTATGGCCATAACAAAAATGCACTTGGAAAATATGAAGGATGTGGCTTGTAAGACATCGCTATGTAATTAATCAATAGTTTCTAATTCCATTTGATTTTTCAGATTTCGATGTTTGCAAACTATGCCTCGCCAAACAAAAAGGTTTTATTCATCCACTAAATATTTGGCATGTTAAAACTTTAGATGCGGCGTTTGAAGCTGCCATCGATGTGTTGAAGTGGAGAGAGGCGTTGGAGTTTGGCAAAGAGTTGGTTGTAGGCTTCAGGTTAGCCTAATATTAAATGTGTATATTTTTTAATCATTTTTAATTTTTCATAGAAAATATCTCGGCGATTGGCATCCGTTGCTAGGACTGCTTTATTTAAAAATTGGCAAGATTCAACTATACGAAAACTACTTACCAGAGGCCGTGAACAGTTTAAAGGAAGCGCAAAAAATTCTCCAAGTTACCCATGGTCGAGATCACAGCCTGTTGCGTGAGCAATTATCACCTTTACTTACACAGGCTGTTGCCGAGAGCTCCGAATAAAATTCCCGTAAGCGAAGAAAAGTATGTTTTGGCGACAATCTGGTTTTCATATCCAATCATGCCATTTGAGAACATATTCTGGCTTTAGCTGAGTGTGCAGGGACGCATGCTACTGCAGCAGGTTGAATTGCCTTCAGACGCAACTTACCGATTATTAAATGATATAATAAGCGTTTATTAATATTCAAATATCTGCCGAATTTACATATTTTCCTAAGTTTATAGCAGAAGTACAAAAACAAAATGTACACGTCAAGGGGAATTTATATATATATACATATACATATAGATTTATATATATATGTATTAATTCGCTTTGCTATTTGCTTTTCCTGCCTGATTGAGGCAGGTTCTGTAATTCACTTCAGAGTGAATTTCAAAATAAACTTCCCTTTGAATTCAAATTGGCAGGGGTTGAAATTCACTCGGAAGTGAATTGCAGAACCTGCCTGAATAAAAATTCAGAGTGAAGGCGGATTCAGCGAAAACTTTTCTCAGAAATATTGCAGAAAAACATACTTATTATTTACTAATTATTATAATTTTAGAATAAAAATCTTATACTACCAGTGTATCTTGTTTAGACAATTTTCGTTAATGCCTTGGCGCGCCGATCGGTATTTTGGAAAAGTGCTCGTATGAGATGCTTAATTTCTTCTGCCTTATAGTTTGCCGTTAAAATACCGGCACCTTCACACCACTGCTCGGTGATTTCTTGCAACGAAGCATTCAGTATCATTTTCAATTGCTCAAGTTTCATCCAAGATTTAATATGTATCACTTCATGTTTGTGCTGCAGGAAGTACAAAAAAAAAAAATAGCATTTGATTCGCATCATTGCATCCCATCAGAAATTTACCTTGAATAAAGTTGGCACCTTCTCCAATATGACACTGATTAGCTCACTCAACTCACTTGCCACTGTTGCCGAAATATCCTCCATTGCGAGAATACGTCGTATTATTTCATTACAAAAATCATGTATAATATCGCAAAATGTCTTGTTATAAATTGCATCGGGTAGCACATTCTGCCAAACATTTTTCAACAAATCTAATTGACGTAAACACTGGCGCAATAATTTCAACGGCGCAGTGCCAACTGTATGTGCATCGGAAATATCTGCAAGAGAATACAAATATTTTTTATATAAAAGGTTATACAATAGGCACTTGTTTTATGTATCTATGCACAAAATTACCAAATTCTTTGAGTATGCCCATGATAATCTTTTGCTGATAATTGATTTGTACATTCAAATATTTGCTTCCACTCATATGTAGGGTCTTAACCAATGCTGGGTATGTGGGTATGCCCTTTTCTGAATTCGTGGTCACCCAATGTGCTAAAAATTGGCAATTATTATAGAACAGAGCAGATTGCTGTGGTATGCTTTCTAGAAGCTTCTCATGTATCTTCGGCACTTCGCCAACATACGAAATCAATATGACGCTGATAACGTTTAACAGACTTTCATCTTCTGTATCATGTGATTGGCGAAGTATGCGCTCCATCAACTTAATTAATTCCTAAAAAATATACCAAATATTGTTGTAAAACTTTAGAGACATACAAACAATAATGCACTCACCAGTGTGCTCTTCGAGACCATACAGCAAGGAAAGAGAAAAGGATTTTTAGCTACATCTTCCGCGGAATTCTTTTCAGCAATTAATGCCATATCTTGCAAGTCCTTATGCATTATGTCTAGCGCGCTTTTTATAAGTTTATTGCTGAATTGTTCACGGAAGTAGCTTTCAAATTTTTCGGCAAAATCGCTAAGAGCTTTATCGGTTTCTGAGTTAATGAGAAACGCATCCGCTAGAAAGTGTTCAAATTGAACGACATCCTCTACGAGCGTTGACTCATCGTATTCGCTCATATTTTTGGGTATTGCATGCATCAGGCATTCTTCCACTAGTAAATTCAAAAATCGTTGTTTTATATGATCACCGATAATGGAGAATACTTGTTGATCATTGGATACTGAAACATTTATGTTGGCTAAACAATTCAAAAGCAGCTTAATATTTTCAAACACTTTCTTGTAGGAAGGACGTAAGCTTCGACTCATTTCTTTTAACGAGTATGAAAGTGTCAATCGCACATGTTCGGGATTTTCTTCGCTGTAGTCCAATGAAACTGGCTTCAAAATTAGTGGCTCTAAACAGTTTTCTAGCAGAAAATCGCATATCTTAATGGGATTATAACGCGCCTGAAAATAATATAAGGTACTGAATTAAGTTTATACTAAACTATTAATCTCTAACTACTTGCTTGGAACAACGCCATCACAGTATCTTGCAATTGATTAACATCCTTCGATACCTGCAGCGTTATATATTTCGAATGGGAGAAAGGTTTTTCAGTGAATTGCACCAGCAACTCGAATCGCTGCTGCAAGTTCTGTTTTAATATATTCGCTTGAATGTGATATTTTACTTTTATTGTATTGTAGCATTCACATTTTTGGAACACGCGATCTACATCTGTGCCTCCGTCACTGTATATTAAGCTCTTTAATTTGCCCAGATGATCCAGCACCACCAAGTACTCCTTGTTCGAATTTGCCTCCTCTACACATTGAAACAGGTCGTCAACCTTGAGTATTCTGAAGGACACGCGTAAACCCAGCGACATTTCACGGAATTCGTCTATACACGCACCCAGCTCCGAGTTGGCTTGGCGTAATGCGGCATTTGCTTCGCTGCCAATTGTCTGCAGCAAGTGCTCAGACTCACGCACTAATTGCTCACCTTCATCGAGGTACGCGTCGGAAGTTGTTTGATTTGGCATGAATTCAATATAATTGTCTTCGATATGTTTGCGTATACGCTCCTGGTAACGCTTTATGCGTGACAAAATTTTAGTAATAGTGCTCTTTGTGACTTCTGCATCGCCACCGTTGCCGTCTCTCAGGATCTTCACGATATCATCGCTATATTGCATCTCATTCTCTTGGAGCGCCATGCCTAATAATGATATATGTATTTATTTTTTTTAACGGTTTTGCCACAGAACCAGAAAATATCCTCTGAAACAGACTACGCCTAGGGACGCTGCAAAAAACAATTGGAATTTTACTTAGGAATGAATCGATACAAGTAAATACAAGTGCATACTCGATGCTTTTCATCCAATACCAAGTAATTTTGGTATTGATACTTTTGAGCCAACCGAAAATCGACTGACCATATAGAAAAGAAACTATCGATTGAACGCTCTCATACATATCGTCGCCTGGGTAAAAGCACAGTATGGTAAAAGATGTCGCAAGCGCAATTTTGACGATGTTTAGTTCTAGATGCAGTTATATATTTTGAAATAAGGTCTTTCGATTTGTGTTATCAGTTTTAAGATATCTCCTTTAGTTTCCGACATATTGATTCTATAATTTAGTAAACATTTAGTTAGTGATGCAGCCATATTAAACTAATCAATATCTAAAGCTGAAATTAGTCAAGAACGTAAACCTACCGGTACGTAAACCCGAGTCAGCTGACACGATCTGTCTTACCCAAGCGCCACGTAAATTAAAACTCAACACCGCAGAATTTTTCTGTAGTTGTAGCCCGTAGCGCAGAAATCTGCGGAATTCAGATTTTTCCGTGTCAGCTGATTTCTCCTTCTTTAGATGGTTGCCACTTCGTCAGTTTTACAGATGGTAAAAAAGATATAAGTTCTTATTCAAATTATGTTTAAAATATTTGAAATTTACTATTGAATAAGGTTTTTGTTGAAAACTAAGTAGTTTATATTTAGCTAAAATCTATTATAGCACGAAAAATTGTAGTTGAAAGGGTAAGTTTATGAAAAGACATTGATGAGTGGCAACAACGTAGTAAGCAACACTGAGGGCTCCAGTAATCGACAAAATTCTGCGTATACAGACTGCGTTTAAGTATACGTTCTGCGTTCTCGACTAATTTCAGCTTTAACAATGACGTTCTCAATTTTGGATATCTCCTTTAGTTTGCGAGATATTGAGTAAAAAGTGTCGTTAATTTAGTAGAAATTTTGATAAAATTTTGTCGTATTTCATACAAAGTGGCTGCCAAATTGTGGACAAATGACACTTACGACAAAATTTTACTAAAGGAAATCCTTCATAAACTCAAAGCTAATTAACATTAAACATTAAAAACTAAATTTAATAATTTTGTGAACTAGTAACATTTTCAGAGACTTTGGAGAATATCTATCCTCGCGTTTTTGAGAAATTGCATTCTAAACTTCAATCGCGATTTCCCACAACCTGCCGCAATCAACATACGACAATCTTTTACCCAGGCGACGATATGTACATAGATACATACATCAAAGAATATTTTACTTCATTGGGCGCATTCATAACACGAACCCAGAAATGGAGGCAGAAGGACCAAACCACAATATATTTGGAACACATCAAGATAACCAACCGTTCAGCTATGGGAAAACTAACAATGCAGACCTCAACTCAACTAAGGCTTTCTGCACATTGGTCGTCCAATCATAGTTGCTTCATCGTCACAATCATAATGCAACGATTACATGACGCCTACACTTTCGCACACTCGGTCGTGATATTTCAATTCATTTGGCGTCTAAAAATTCACTTGGAGCAGGTATTTTTTGTTTTTCTGGTTGATATTTTCGTGAAGTATTGACAAAAACCTGCAATTTTTAAAATATAGACTGTGCTGCAACAATTCTAGACATCATTTTTCAGTAATATCTCTTCTTTTCTTTTCCTGAAATGTGGTTTGAGCATGCAAACACAGGCTTTTTACAATTTCGTCATATTTTTTAGTTAAAACGCTCACATTTATTGAATTGTAATGCAATTATGCACTTTTTAATAATTTCCACAGCTTTTATGAAAAAAAAAGCTATTTTTTTTGCAATTTTAATGAAAATATTAACTTTTTCACTAATTTTTTCCCATAAAATGTAAACAAACAATGCGTGCACAACGATAAGCAAACGACAGTGTCGTACTTATCCGTTTCTGCATCTTCTACAATTTGCCGATAACTAGCCGATAACGACAAGTGTGCCAATCTCCTTTGAAATGCATGTGCTCGGCTCAAAATTTCAGGGCGAGACGATAACGCAACTATGATTGGACGACAAGTGTGCAGATAGCCTAAGTCGAAACTATTCTAAGTCACAACTAAAGCTATTCATAGTCGCCTTAGTTTCGACTTTTCAGGCTAAGTACCAACTTAAAATTTAGTTTCGGCTGCAGCTGCAACTAAGTCGTAACTAGGAAGAAGTTTTTATCAAATTAAGGGAAAACAGGCGAAATATGTAAAAATTAAGTTGGTAGAGGGTGATTGATTTTGATAATATTGAATAATCTCCAATTAAAATTTTCAAAGATGGATCCATTTTAATCGGAAGATGAAATTAAATGCGTATTACAATTCGAATAAAGCTACATCACAATTTTATAATTGGAATAATTTAGATAAATTTTCAAATAATAAGTCAGTTTCACGCTAGTTCTTTTAAAGTAAATTTGTGCATAACATTTAGATATCTACTATTTGTATGTTTCACAGCATGCTTTCGATAAACATCGACTTCACATCACTGGGGTTGTACTGGCTATTTCACACAATTAACAAGAAAATGATACCTTATTCTTTTGCATAATCATGCAATGAACATACAAATTACATAAACGGTTGATCAAACTTGATATTATTTAACAAAAATGTAATTTTTCCAAAATATCGTAAAGAAAAATCGATACATTTTCACACTCATTTTGCTATATCGTAAACTAAGTCGAAACTACTTAGTAGAAGTCTAAAATTGGACTATGAATAGAGGTAAATTTTAAGTTGGTACTTAAATTTAAGTTGCAACTTTGTTAGTTTCGACTTAGTTGCTGGACTATGAATACGCGCCAATATGTATTTGCACATACATGCATATATATTTTTTATTATCACTGAAATCTGAAAACTCGAAAGCAAATCATAATATAATATGTATATCAAATTTAAAGGTAAAAACTTGCACTTTCTAAGTAATATAAATTTTTTTAGCATTGAAAATGGACTTTTTCTAAAAAAAAGTTATTTTATGAAAAAATTATGAAATTTTTTTGTTTTATAATATTTTTGGCTTAAATATATAAAAACGCATACACATTTTATATATCAGCTTGAAGATAAATTAATTTTTTTTATTTTAACACATTACCTTTCGAATCGGTTACGCAGTTTAGAAAATATTAATATTTTAAAATATAAAATTTTTTTGTTTTACCTTCTATATCTACTTTACTTTTTAATTGCGGTAAATAATATTTATACAGTTAAAATCAGCGTAAAAAGTACTAGCAATCAGCATTTTTAGTTTTTCTATAGCTGAACCGTTGGTTATTTTGATGTATGCCATATATTTTTACAAATAACATAAACGAAATCGAGTTGTACTTTTTAATTTGGATACATGTATTTTTGGATATTTTGCTGCCATCTATTCACTAATTTATCAATTATTTCGAATTTAGAATAGTGGGCAGAAAAATCACTAATTATCGTCATATTTTCAAAATAGTTTCATTGCTAAACTCTCTTGTACAACACCAACTAGATGCCATGTATGGGCTCTGTCACACGGTCAGTAATTATCACGATATTTGGATCGCGATCCATATTGATGGATTGATGGATCGCGCACGAATGCTACATGTTCAATATTTATCGCGTCAGTATTTGCAACATTTTTTTGCTGAAAGCTTATTATGACGCAAGAAAATATTGTATTTTGTACGTATAATTTACAGATAATGCATTCCACAATTATTTTAAAATTTCCAATGTTAATTATAATTTGTTTCGAAAGTTTTAAACCCCGAGAGCGAAGGCAGAGCCGATGTTCGCATTATGAGAGTAAAAGATGTACTGACGAAATGTATGGATCGCGGTTTGAAAGTGCTACACGTTCAATATTTATTGACGGTATTGCGATCCGCGATCCAGATTTCAAATTTTTTTTTAAATTTTGCGATATGGATCACGATCCATCAATACTGCATGCAACACCGTCATAAATATCGCGATACGTGGATCACGTCAATAAATACTGACCATGTAACAGTGCCCTATGAGCCAGTGCTATCGTATACTATCGTGTTGTATATGTAGGAAAACTTCAACTCCGAACAAAACATATGTACAAATGTAAATATAAATATTGCACATACGTAAGTATAAATTCTAAATATTTGCCTTAGTTCAATTCACAGCGACACTTATTTAAGTAAAATTCACAAAATTTCAACGCACCAGAACTATCGAAACAATCGACTATCACCCGAAAACAATCGATGTTTTTCCCAAAATAAATAATAATATCGATAATTATAGAGTGTACAATCGATAGTTTTGCAGTTCTTCCAGAAACGTTGTTCGAGGATGCCCATTCCTAGGTTACATGCATTGCAGTTTATAAATGCAAAAACCGTCAAAGTTTTTTTTTTTTTTTACAAGAGAAGCCTGGTTACTTGCATCTATCTAGTTCCTGTCGTATATACCAGATAATATGTTTTCCCAGCGAAGATTGGGTGTCGCCTTATTTTTCCTGTTGCTGAGTTTGCAATATGTTGTTTGTTTAGTTGATCCAATATCCCTGACCATCGGCGCCGGTGTTGGGCTTGGTGCTTGGTTTGGTGGATTTGGTGTACTTAAAGATCAAACTTATTGCCGTTGGTCAGAATGCTGCAATGAGCGTAGTATTAAGAGGGATATTGGAGGTAATCAATTAGTAATTGGCATTGTAAAATTTATTGTTTTTTTTTTTTTTTAGAGCTGAGAAGAACACTGACGGAGAAGCTGTATGGACAGCATATCGTCATACAGCAGTTAATTTCGGCGCTAGAAGCTCATTTAAATCCTCACAGTTCTTCACGCAAACCACTGGTGATGAGTTTTCATGGCACCCCGGGCACAGGGAAAAATTATGTGGCTGATATGATCGCAGAGGCATTGTACGAAAAAGGTGTGAACAGCAGATTTATTCACAAGTATAGAGGAAGGTTGGATTTTTCCATAGATAATGATGTAAATAAGTATAACGTGAGTAAATATTAACTCAAATCAAAAGTGCATTTCATTTCCATTTAGTTTTCTTTATCATACCAAATAGTACCGCATTTACTCTGACGTCACAAAAGGCATTAACGATTGTCCACTATCTTTGTTTATTTTTGATGAAGTAGATAAAATGCCGCAAGGAGTTTTTGAATCGTTAACATCGCTAGTAGATTACAATGGATTACCAGATAATTTGAGTGGCTCTAAGGCTATTTTTATTTTCATTTCCAATACGGCTGGTGTACAAATTTCACATCAACTGGCAAAAATGCTAAAAAATGGTGCAATGCGTGAAAACATCAAACTCAGTGCTTTTGAGCAGGTACTAGAGAAGGTGTCTTATAACATAGAAGGGGGGTTAAAGAAAGCTGGTTTAATTGAAAAACACGTAATTGATCACTATTTACCATTCTTGCCGCTCGAAAAGCAGCATGTTCTCAAATGCATAGCCGCAGAGTTTAAAAAATGGGGCCGAAATCCGAAGGAAGGCGTGATAGAGTACGATCAAATTAATGTTTGTATATTTAAAAATTCTCAAATATTTTTTTTCTTTCATTATATGTAGGTCATTACTTCAAGATGTGATTACTTATGATCGCGAACACGGACTTTTTGCGACCTCGGGTTGTAAAACGATAGAAAAGAAAGTAGCAACAGAAGTGTGGATCAATTGAAAGCCAGGGATTTATATATAATTTTTAATGCATTTATTTCTTATAAAAGTCACACGAAATACTAAATATATGTGTATATTTCGTATTACCATGGGTTGAGCCATTTCATACGTGCATCACGTTTTAACAAATCAGTGTCTAAGCGTTTTGGGTCAGATTCGAATGCTTCAGCAGCTTCTAATCGCTGCACTACAGGACCGATTTCTTTAGTAACGATGCATTCACCATTTTCCTTAAGTACCGTATATTTGATGTCATTATCAGTGGGCTCACCATACGGGAATGTTATTGGTGTCACTTTGATCAAGTGCTTTATTTTCCAAAGTAATGCATTGACGTCCGGTATATTTTTTACTACAGTAAAATCACTTTGTTTACCATCGAGACCAAGGTCTTTCAGAATACGTTTCTCCCAAAAAGGATTACCCTTGACAGGTTTAATACGTTGTACACGGAATAATTTCGCTGGTTGAACTGGTGGATCTTCATGGTCAGGTGTCCTAATAAATTTAGAAAAAATAAACAATCTTAAAACGTCAGTCATTTATATGAGTGCGTACTGACATTGGGTAGTATATGATTTTGCCATATTTCTGTCCGTCCTTGTATAAATATTTTTTATTGTGTTTGCCATAGGCACGTACTGTGTGTGTTATTAGAGCGGCTGGCTGCAACATTTTTGTTAAATCCATTTATAAAATCCAATTTTCTAAATTTTTATACAGACCAAATGCGGTTAGGTTATGAAACAACAAAAACAGCTGTTTACTAAACAGAGTTGTATTTTATCAAAGTACAGTACGAACAGGAGGCAGAAAACTACAGAGTGTACGACTTGAAAATTTTGTTTGGCGGCAGATGTTTGTATCCAAAATGGCCGTTGAATAGAAAAATTAGTGACCCGTGTCCTTTTTGAAGTGTTTTCTTTTTGTGAATTTTTCTACAAAAAATGACAAAAACTAAAGAAAATCAGCTTACCGGCGTTTTAACGGACTTGCCTACCCTGAAGCGCAAAAGACAATCTGAAGGATATTTGGGATCCGTCGCGGATATTTCTACGGGTACAAAAACTTGTTTCACAAATTCTGCCTTCAGTTCTACACCCAAGAAAATTGTGGCTCGCAGGCGCACGGCTAATGCGCTAAGGAACAATTGTATGCAAGACCCTTGCTTGGAAGTCAAATCGATTGCAGATATACTCAAACCGGAAGTTGAAAATAAAGTAAATTCTGAGGCAGCAACTGGGACACAGACACAAAATCCTTACGAGGTTGTGCGTAAGCCACCAAAGAAGAAGAAACGTGAGTCAGAAATCATTGAATCATGTTTTGAAAATCGAGCACTCAATTTGGAGCTCCCGGAGAAACAATTCAATCCGTATGAGGTATGTAGGTAAATTTGTGCTTTTATTAAAAGCCTAATTTTTTTTTTAAGTACAGGTTCTACGGGAGCTACCTGGAAAGCCAGCAAATGTGATACAATCAAATTGCTTTGTAAACGCCGCATTAAATCTACGATCACAAGATGCATCTTCTACGCGTAACCCTTTTGAGATCCAACGTTGTACCAATGTTCAGCCCATTACTGCTGTTGTTGGTGTCGAAAATCGCGGTCTAGATGACGGCCCAGCGGTGCCCACTGACTTAAAAATAGTTTTACCATTTAAGCCTACTTTGGGCTGCCGCATCGACTTTTCAAACATACCCATTGAACAATTAACTCCTACCAAACTGCTAGCAGATAAGCTTGTATTTTCTCCGGTTCTAGCGGTACCGAAGCGTTCACTGGATTCGGCAAGCGAAGAGAGTAGCATGGATATTGGAAAAGAATTGGATCGTTACCAGCTTGAGTTGGAAAATAGTATCAACGAGGCAAAAATGCGCAAAACCAATGGTACATGCATGGATTCCCAAACGAGCGAATTAACTTTACAAGTAGATGTGGAACAAAAAATAACGTTTACACAAAGATTGGCAGAGATAGTTGAAGAAGATGAAGAGAAGGAAAATGAGAGTTTCAAAGACGAGATTATAAAAACTACTACAACCGAGGAGTTTACAATTCAGTCACATGATACAGAAATATCTGGAAAAGCACAAATCGAACATGTTAATGATGAATTAAAAACTGAAGATGTTGCCTATGCGTCTGATTCTGATGATGAAGAGATAGATTTCAGAGTCCCTGCACCGTTTGTGCGCGCCTACCATCGCATTAATCCACAACATGCAACTGGCAGCAAAGAGTCGCTACATTCCACTGGCTCAAGTAACTCGGCGACAGACCATAAAAAATCATTAAATGTACGAAACATAATACGTAAGTCTCTAAGAAAACTAATGCATCCAAACAAGCATGATGACATAGCAGAGAAAAAATCGGTTGAAAAGCAGCAGCACCTTTTGCAAAATGAAGAAGTAGAAACAAAAGAAAAGCAACCACACATTGGTGCATATAAATTTATTCGTAATAGCTTGCGACGCAAAGCGGTGCCCAAAACGACGATTTGCACAGAAAAGGCGGCTGCGGTCAAAGCTGAAATATCCATTATTGATACCAGTGAACGTAGTATGAAACTCAAGGCGGAATTGTTGCCGAAGGCAGAGGGAGACCGGAAACACTCATTGCGGAGCAGTTTAAGACGATCGACGCGCGAAATAGGACAACATTTTATGAAGACTGTGTTTCATAAAAACCAAGAAGCCTACGAGTTCACTAAATGATTTAGTATATAATTTACTAAATGATGTTTGCTGCTATATGTCACTGTTTTGCACCCAAAGATAATACTTAACCGTTTACTAAGTAAGTTTTTCTAAATATACAATTTTTTAGATTTGTTTTAAGCCACCAAACTAGCACTATGAAATTTCGGCAAACTGTGTTAAATATTGTATTTCGTTTTTAATAAAGAATCGATTTTGTATACATACTTTATTTGAATATACAAGCAGTATACATATCGCACGTTTAACAAGAAAGAGAGTTATTTCAAAATTTACATTTTTGGAGATGTCATCATACAACTAATAAGCTGGATGAGGAGAATATGTTCAGTACAACAGAATAATAGCAGCCAAATTCCAATGAAGCTGTTGGCAACTTATGTTTGTTTATTTATTGTTAAAAATTTTTGATTTAAATATGGGTTGATCCACGATAAAAAACATTTCTTTATTCATTCTGAAAGTTTGGAATAAACTTTTTTGTTTACATATTCTTTAGAACGTTCCTGATGATATGTTAACGTATATTTCAAACGCATTCTGTTTATTCCGGCTGTGAAATGGGATTATCCGGAATGTATAAAGAAACGCAGCCATTGAGAGGCAGTCTGACGTTTTCCAACACACACTCACACACACATTCTCATTTGCAATCTCAAACAACAACAATTGTGAACAATTTAATTTTTTTATTTTCAATTTTATATGATTATAAAATATTGGCAAACTTCAGAAAAAAAATCATGGCCGACGAATTGAGAGAATGAATTTACCTTGTAATGTTTTTATCATGGGTTGATCTATATCAGAAACCACATTAATAGAAGTTTAAAAGCTTACCAAAAGTTCACAAAAACTAATTAAACGCAAAAAAATGTTCATCAAAATTTAGATTTTTTTTCGAATTTTTTTGTGGAGGGTGTTGTGCATTTTGTTCCACATAAAAATAAACTTGGTTCATGCGTTACATGGATGAAAATGCGCAACACTCTCCTAAACCCAAAAAAAAATCTAAAATTAAATGGGCTACAAAACTGCATACTGAAAATTTTTCGAAGAAATCGAATTAAAAAATCGAAATTTTGACGACCATTTTTTTTTTATTTTATTAGTTTTTGGGAACTTTGTGCAAACTTGGAAAATTTATTAATGTGGTTTCTGATATGCTATCCTGCTCACCTTTAGTTCATACACTTCACACTTTTATTTCATACAATCTTGAAGCAGAAATATTTTAAAGTGTATGAAGTAAAGGTGGGCAGGGTAGTATTACAAATGAAGGGGTTAGAATCAAGAGGAGCTAAGTAGATTTGAAATTTTTTTGAGATAATTAAGGTTAAAGTTGATTATTTATTGTAAATTCTGGGTAAATGCTTTTGAAATGATTCTTGCCTCAATGAATGCAGGTTAATTAAATAATTCAAAGAATGTTTACTCTTTCTCACCAAATAAACGCTATTGTTAACTATACAAATATGGGTATAACTTATATTTAAAAATAAAATGATAGTTTAAAAAACTAAAACCTCGCTATTAAAATTTCCATTCGTATTGTCAACAGGTATGTAAATTGAGAATAGAAATCGCTGCATCTTTTAGGCGCATCAATATTACATAGTTACATCCCGAGATAATAAAAGGGAGGTAATAAAAATGTCACTTAGACCCTTATGATTCTAACCCCTTCAAATGTAGATCAACCCATATTTTAAATGAAAATTATTAACAATACATAAATATACATTGGTTGCCAACAGCATCATTTCGAATTTTTCTGCCATTATTTTACTCGCAGCATGTGTGAATTTCCATCTGTTCTTCTTCTTCTTGATCAAACTTTGCATTTTCCCACAAACTTAGAATTGTGAATTATGCCGAATTTCCACTAGGCATTGAAATAACAAAAAATGTATGCCATTTAAAAAAAATGCCAAGTGGAAATGAACTTAATGACTATTTTTTTAATGTAATGATACGTTTATTTTTTAATGCCCGACCTTGTCATTTGTCATTTTTGCCATTTAATGCCTAGTGGGAAATTCTTTCCAAGCATCTTTCCAGCATTAATTCCCTATATTTTTTAAATTTTGTTTTTGACGCGGAAATACATCTAGATGCTTATGGCTGAAAAAGAAAAATCAGTCCTTGGGAGAGCGCTGCAAATTGAAACCAGACTCAACATTATTTTGTATTCTTTAATTTGTTTATTTCTGGAAAATCTCCTTTCATTTAAACTTTAATTGAGTTTTTAATTACATTGCATTTTGCTTATGTTATTTTTCATACTTCACTCTGCAATACATATATTCTTTAACTTGTCGGTGTTTGATTGATTACAACATTTATTTTCTTTCCGGTTTAATGTTTTTTTTTTTGCTTTCCGCTTTCATTTCAAATAATGAATTGTGTAATTTGTATTTGGATTTATTCGACATTGAATAATTTTCACAATTAATTATTTCACTACGTTTTCTATGAATTAGAATTGCTTGTTAACTTAGAAACAAACGTTTTCTCAAATAATATGTTGGGGTTTTTTTTTTATCAAAGTATTTGCATCTTTTGCGCTTCAGTTTCTACTTAAAGTAATTTCATTTAATTAAATTTGTTTTTACATTATTTGATTTTGGTTTTCGTATTCATGTAGCTATAATGGTTGGTTTTTAATTTTATTCAATATCTATTTCTTAATTATTACTAAAATTTGTTTATAATTAAATTTCGTCTGTTTTCTATTACGTTGTTTGTCATATCCGTTATTGTAAACATGTATGTATGTACATACATATGTATTTTTAATAACTAACCTATTATACAGACATACATACTTACAAGTATGTATATTTCATACTTGCGCACTCATTTTAATTAATACTCATACACTACTATTTTACATACATACATACATGTGTATGTCTGCATTTAATTGTATTATTTAATAATACCCAGTGGGAATTAGGAGCACGTAATAATACCTTATTAGCAACTTACTCTTCACCTGGCAGTCATTACCATTTCCCTGCCGAACGTCCCTTACTTTTACAAAGGCATGGCCGCCTTATGTAAGTAGGAATTTAGAATGTACATTTGGTATCANAACTGACAACGTAATGTGTCGCCGGAGGTGTTCATTTTGTGCTTTACTAGTAGATTACGCTGGTCATGATGACAATTTTGGTACTAAAAACTGAAAGAAAACATGGCTTACCTCGTAAGGTGCTTACCTATTTTCCCAGTGGGTAACTCCGCTATATGTGTATGTATGTATGTATGTATGTATATCTTTGCATTGTATAGCTTTGCTTTTAGTTTTTTTTTTTTTTTTAATTTATTAAGAAAATGTGTTAATCAATTTACAGACCCGCACAAGTGGTTAGTGGTGATTGAATTGAAGATATTCCAATTACCAACAGTAGGTTAACAGGTTTAGTGGAGTACAATTGGGGGAAAAGATTTTAGAGAAAAGTTGGAGATTTTACGATTGCTGCATGTTTGAGAATTAACTGACGAGTAGGTGGTTTCAAAAAATGCATATAGTTCGTGGTAACGGTGGCAGCACGCAGTGCCGGAGTAAAAATTTAACTGAAACTTTATTTAAGAGCTAACTACTGTTTTGATTCCTATGTTCATTCAAGTGAAAAACATCATTTGCCTTTAACCGGCCACTGCCTGCTTCCTTAGCATGTGAAGAAACTTTTCTTCAAGAAATTATAAATTGGGTAAATAAAAAATATTTGCTATTTTTCCAACAATATGTATGTAAGATTCCAACGCCATTTAAAGATCATCAAATATTACAGCTTAACATTAATTTTAAAACAGTACTCAGTACGCTCAGTTGTTGTTTGATTTTTAAATTTAAATTTGCCTTTAATTTAAATTTTCACTTCAATTTTTTCTAATATGCTACACTACATAATCTACTTTGTCTATGAACTATTGTATTTACAGGTGAATATAATGTCGTAGATTTTTTTTTTTACGGTGGCAAGGCTGTCGCTTTTTATACTTGCTAATTAATTAATTCTTAATAATGGATGGGTTTTGATACTTTGATTTTCTGCACAATAAAACGCTTTGGTGTTAGAAAAGTATAAACGAATTTATTAGCATGAAAACGCTATTAGAAATAACTACTCATAACCGCGTTTCCGGTATGAAATGAAATCTATCGATATTGATATCCAAATTCTATCGATGAAGCCATTTTGTACGGTTCAAATATGCCTATGGGGCCTTTTCATCCTACAATGACAGAATAATTATTCTCACTAGGGGTTTTCACACTGACCATGGTACTCGGTAGCTCGGCGTTCGATAATTTTTTACATATCGCTCTACCTTAGTTCACAAAGGCCCTAACCAACACTTTTTTCCAGCGACTGAAAATAACCACTATTTTTCTAATTTTAACCAAAAAAAATCAAGATGTTGTAATTGTCGTAAAACAAATTTTACCTATACTCACGTATTTGTGTTCGTACGCCTACTTTCATTTACAATGCTTTTTATTTTTCGATTAAATGAATAACGATTAAAAATAATAATTAATATTTGAGTTTTATTTTTTTGCTCAAAGGAAATTATTATTGCTTGATTTTTATTTGTTCGATTAAAAATGATGATTATTTTATAATTTTTATTTTTTCGCTCAAAGATAATAATTATTATTGAGTTTTATTTTCTGACTTAAGAATAATGATCATTCGAAAAACCCAAAAGCTTGATTTCCGATGTATCCTTTTTAGAGGTAGCGACACCCCAATAAAAGGAATAAGTGCCAAAATTTCAGTAGGCTGTGTCTGTATAACTTTTGGAAAAATAATTATTATCTCTGATTGAAAAAAAAAATCAAATAATAATTCTTTCCGTTGAGCGAAAAAATAAAACTCAATAATAATTTGTATTTTTGAAAGAAAAAAATAAAAATCATAAAATAATGTTTAAATGCTGCTTCCTCATTATGATTGCCGTTTCTGCTTTTTATCAAACTGCGGTTTTCCAGATTGTTTGTAAAATTTTTAAAGCTCTGGTACCAAAAACCAACGGAGTTACTTGCAACTTTTTAAAATGCCCTAGCTGTTTTTGATGCTCTTTTTATAATGTTTTTTGCTGCTCCTACAAAATAAAAAATTTGTTGATTAGGGCCTTTGTGAATTAAGGTAACGATATGTTTATGTTAATTTTGTAAAACTACTACTTTAATTTGGAGTAGAAGCTGTAACAACTTTTGAAAAAAAAACCTCACTCCACCGCCGCTCT